ACTTAGCGTCCTAAATAGTTAAAAATTTAATAATAATACTATCCTCGATTATAAAATTATTTTAAATATTAGTATTTTTAAAGTCTAGATCTATTTTCTTAAGTACTTAAACTAGCTTATTATTAATATTAAAGAGTTCTTATATTTTTTAAATTATTAAATTTACTTACTTACTTACGATAGCTTATTCTTTATATACGGGATTATAAAAAACTTCTTTATTAAACTTAATATTTTTTATAATAAATACTTATTTAAATACGGGTACTTAGACTTTATATAAGTTATACGTTTTTAGTATATATTTAATTAGGTATCTTATATATTTATAAAGAAGTATTTTAAACTCTTTTTAACGTATACCCTTTTTATAATTTTTATAAAGAGGGTATACTTAGTAATTATATACGTAAAAGTTACTAAAATACGGGGTAATTAGTTTAAAATCCCGTATTTAATAACCCGTTTATTACTAACGTTAATACCGCTTTTATTAATTAATTTCTATTATAATAAGTAAATCTCTTTTATTAACCTCCCGTAAAGTAATATTATAAATAAAAATTATTATTAGTACTATTTCGTCCTATAAATTCGTAAAGAGGTTCGTAAAAAGGTATATCTTATGAGCTTTAATAATTATAAATTAACTTATTTTTTTAATATTACTTACGGGTTTTTTTATATATAAAAGTAGAAGTTCTATTCCGATTCTTAGCTTATTATATTACGTTTTATATACGTATTTAACGTTTATAATTAAAAAGGCGGTCTTATTATTATTTTTAAAAAAGTAAATTAGAGTCTTTTTTTAATAACAAATTGCTACTTCGAGGCTTTATAATATAAAAAGTACTTTTTTTTCTATTTTAGTTCTTAAAAAGAACCCCCTAAGCTATTTACTATATTTATTAAAAACTATAAGTATATATTATTATTTATTAAGAAATAGTTTGAAATAAAAAAGATCTTAATATATATAGTACTATAGCTATAAGGCTCTTTTTAAAAGTAGTCCTTTTAAAATTATTTTTTTAGTTTTAAATAATATATATATTTTATACTTAACTTATAATAGAGGTTTAATATATATACTTTAAGTTTTATATAGTAATTAATAAAGAGTATTAGGTCCGAGATAACTTATTTTAAAGTATTAGAGGAGCGTATTATTAGACCTTTTATAAGTACGTTAATATAAATAATAAAATTTTTTATAGCTAATTAGTAATATTATATTAACTAAGCTCTATAAAATATACTTAAGGTTTATAAAAAAAGGATAGGATTAGAGGAGCTTATATTTAAAAAAGACTAGATTATTTTTTTAAATAAGTTATTTTTTAATAGTACTCTTATAAAGCGTTCCCTATTATAAAGGATAATTTAGACTATAATATTAGAGTGCGCTTTTATTTAGTAAAGTTTTTAAAACTATATTAATATAAAATCTTTTAATATAAGCGACGTTCTAAAGCTTTAGATTATAAGTTCCCTTTTTTTTAAATTTATTTAAAACGCCCTTTATAATATAAATACTATGTATAATAATAAGTAATATAATAGTTTTTAATTTAATATAGTTTTTATTACTTAATAATATATAACTTTTAGGTTTAAATAAGCTCTTATTATTAACTAAATATATTATTTTATAACTATTTATAACTATATTTTAAAAAAAGGAATAAGCGCTACTTATAGGGGTACTAAAGATTATATTTATTTTTAAGTCCTAACTTTTTATAAGTATAATAATTACGTAGCCCTCGTCCTAGTTTATTAATAAGCTTATTATAAGTTAATTAGAGGATCCTTTTAAAAACTTAAGTTTTTTAGGGGTTCTATCGTTCCTTAACTAACTAGCTTTTTTAAGCTTATTATAAAGTAATTTTTATTTATTTAATTTAATAATAATAAGGACTTCTTTTATATAGCTCCTTAGTATTTATATTAATAACTTATTAATATTTTAGTTTATAAGTACTTATTTTAAATTTTAATATATTATAAAGTACTATAAGTATATATAATTATAAGAGTATATAATATTACCCTTATTATTTATATTATTAACTAAGTTAGAGCGTTTAGTAAAAATAGAGTAAGCCCCTCTTTAATTTAAAAGTCGTTTAGTATATACGTCCTAGGTTACTAAGCTAAATATATACGTAATCTCTTTAAGTATTTTTATATATATTTTAAAAGCTATTAATTTACTAAAGGTTTTATATATACGTTAGCCCTATATAGGGTTAAGTCTAGACTTAACTATAATTAAAAAGTTAAGTATAATAATTTTTTTATTAATTTCTAAAATATCGTACGTTTTAGCTTAGAAATAAATAGACTATTACTCTTTATATTAATATTAAAAGTTAATTCCGGTTTTTATTTTATTAAGAGCTTATTAATATTCTTTTTAAACCGCATTCTTTATTACTAATTTAGGGGGCGTAAATTCTTATTTTAAATATTTAATAATTTACTATATACTAAACTTAGTACCGTTTTTAATAGTTTTTTAAAATACGTATTTATATAGTATAATATTAACTAATTTTACTAATTACTAAGTAAGGACTTTAATATATATATTAATAATATTACGTTTATAAATTATAAATTACTTATATTTAGTATTAAGCTTTTATTATTTTTAAATATTCTTAAGTATATAAATCCTTTTTATAAGTATAGTATAAGAATAGATTTATTTATATAAAATAGGTAATATAATTAGTTTTATAAAAAAAAACCCGGCTTAGTTCTATAAGTTACTTATACTTAAAGAAGTTAAAAGGTTTATATTAAGAGTTATATTTAGAAACTATTAATAAAGGATTTCTTAGTTTTTTTAGTTATTTTTAAATACTTTATAACGGGCTTAATAAGCTTATAGTTCTTTTTTATTATAAATCGTAACTAATTATTTAAATTTAGAGGGCGAAATAAGTATTATAAAAGGGTTAAGGAATATATTAAAGTTTAGAGCGTTTAAATCGACGTATTTCTAAACCCCGACGTTTTTATTTATAATACGAAGTATATTAAACTATTTAATTTAACTATTATAACTAGTTAATTTAGCTTAAGCTAAAATAAATATAAATAAGTTAATTATTTTAAAAAAATCGTAAGAATTATATTAATAAGTATATTATCGTAGTATAAAGTCTTAACTAAGAGCTAGGCTTATAATTATTATAAGTTATAATACGTAATAATAAGTATATAGAGTATAATAAAAATAATTTAATTATTAAAATAAAAATAGATAAAAAGAAAAGGTTTATATATACGATATCTAAGATAGATACGTAATTTAGTACGTAACGGGCACTTCGTAAGGTGCGATTACTATCCCTATTACGTGATAGTTAACTACCCTTCTCCGGTTAGTTTATAAGTATTAGAAAATTAGTCTCTAGTATGGTTTGAACTGTGTTATTCGATGTCATTAATGCAAAACCCAAGGGACTAAATGCTCGTGTTCGTCCATTCTCTTTTGACGTGAGTGTTATACTAAGCACTGCAGTTTCAAGGATCAGGGACCACGTGAAAAGTCTCTGGTGGGCTGAACATACTATAATTCACCCTACTCGGCTGTTGCCGCCTTGGTCAGAAGTTAAAGCAATTTCATCGGAAGGAATTAAGTTGCCGTTCATCCGTAAGGGCTTGAAGTGCGAATTGGTAGTGCAAAAAAACGTCCATAAGTCGAAAGTGCATTGTCCAGGCCGCGTAAGGGACTGCGACGTGTGGGAACAGCCGCAGCACCATGAAAAGGATGGACTACTTACTTAATTGCATACAAAGCTTGAAATTGACTTTGAGAAAACTTCTGAAGCTAGTAACACCATGAGTCGTTCGTAGCAAGAGCGTCTTTGTAACGAGTGGGCATTGAGACTTGACTCGAAAGTCCGACGACCCGACCTAGTTAACCCATGAGTACCCTGGACTCTTCTGGAAATTAGTGCTTCATAAATGAACATATCGCTGAGACAATTAGCTTGGTCTCTGTGCAGCTGGCTGTGTCAGGTCCACCTTCTCAGCTTTGCAGTTTCTGAAGTGCGACCTGGGGCGGGGTAAAGGTGCAATGAACTTCAACATTGGCAGTGGGACATACGGCACCACTAGTGTTGCCAATGCTGCTAGGCCCTCTATGTAAAGCTCCTCAGCCGCTGTGATCCCCTTTTTGGGGGTCAAAAGATTGCAGTGAAGCACGAGTAATTTGGCCTCAATTTGCCGCCATGGTGGCGGGAGATTGGGAGTGTCCCAACAAGGGACATCGATTGAAGGAGAAGCCCTCGGGGGGAGCTAAAGTTGCAGTGAAGAGTCGCCACATGCCGCCTGATAGGTAATGATCTGGCGACCTACATTGGCGCCGTCGATGCGCGGCTGAGCGACATTGACTTGCATCACAGTCAGGAATGAATGAGGCTCGCAAAATGTCGCGGACAGGATGGGATATCTGAGTCTAGAACAGGTCTGCTTCTGTAAACAACCTGGATTATGGTGCGTCTATTCTTACTCTCTGTCTTGGAGCTTTGGATAAGAACATGAAGTTAACCAACAACGAAGACATTGTTAATACTAAGGTAGTCGAGAATATCACACATCCCCTATCTAGGGGATTACTGAATAAATGGGAGCGTTTCCTCGAACATAAATGATTCTTTTGGAGAGGCATGATCGTCATCAGTTTTGGAGGTCAGTCATCCACAAGCGCGCTCAGCCATACTGATCTAGACCATGACGGGAGACTCAAGATGAAGACTTTGAAAGAAATCCTATTTATGAGCTGAATGTATACTTCTATCTGATTTAGCCAAATCCCGAAAGTCACCGTATGCGCCCCTCCCAGTGACATCCCTCTATAATCCTTTCTCAAGAGGATAGCTAGATTATTATCATCACAAAGTAGAGTGCCTCTAGCTTCTCAAGCTAGATATCCTCGACTAGGTGGAGAAGGAATCATAAAACAAACCGTAGCTAGATGATCAAGCAGATACAATAGACTTTGCAATCTCCTGGACCAAAGCCTTCATCTCCTCGGTCGAGTGCTCTTTCAGACCCAATAGGTCGTTCTGCACGCTTTCGTAGCCGGGCTTCGCCTCCTCAGTCTGCGAGGCGCGGATAATGTATCCCAGCCATACCCACTCGTCAAAGATACCCTCAGAGAGAGCCTTGTCTGACTTCGCCTGCACGTCCGCCGTGTTCTCCTCCGAAATTGCCCAGCCATCGGCGCCCGTCACTCCCTGCGCGGCCTCCACAATCTCGCGCTTCGTCAGCTTTCCGTCGTGGATGCGGACCGTCTGGTTCTTTGTCGCGTCAGGGTTTCTCAGTACGCCAACAACAGCCTTTCCGACGGTTGAAAGCCTCGTCACACTGATGGGAAATGAGCCTCCGTTGTAAATGGTGGCCTTCTTGCCAGCCACGTCGGCAATGAAGCCAACGTTCAGACCCCAGTCGAGGAAGAGGTTGTTGTAGATGAATGTGTACGACAGGCCCGTCTCTGCGGCCCGCTTCTCCAGGAGGTCCTCAATCTTGACCTTGTCGGCGAATACCGGCAGTGCACGAGCAAGAGGGTTCTGCAGGTCACTGCCGAACTCTGAAGGAATGAAGCGGGTGACGCCCGCGTCGATGGCGGCCTCGATCACCGTCTCCTGGAGAGAGAGTCCAGCTGATCCAATGGTGCTGACGACGGCTTCTTGGCCCTTGAGCGCGTCCGCAATGGCGGTCTTTGATTTGAAGTCGACGGCAACTTCTTTGACTTTCGATGAGAGTTCCGTGGGGAGCTTTCCTGTGGTGCGGGAGAGCACAGTAACCTCGAGACCGGCGTCGATGAGCTCTTTGAGAACAGCCGCGCCTAGGGAGCCAGCAGCCTAGTATCTGTGAGCAGCTGATTAAACATTTAGATCTTACAGGACTTACGCCAATGTGAGCAATACGGGTCAGAGAGGGCATTTTTGCGTTGGATAGTTGAGACAGAAATAGAGGTGATACCCAGCAGTCTTAATCGAGTGGAATTGGTTGTGGTTGAGAGATATCGTCTTGTTATTCTATGGTTTACAGCCAAGTAGCCCAGAAGAAATTGCGAACAACAGCTCTCATATGTAGTTGGAAATAAAGGTTCCGAGTCATAACCTTGGTATCGAGATTATTGATGTTCTGCAAACGATCGTGGCGTTATTCGAACCGTGAAGCAGACCGGATGTATTTTGGTTCCGGACTTTCAGAAGGCTTACCGCGAATCGGAAGCAAAATGGTTTTTTTAGCGCAGACGGACCGAGAAAAGCACCCCAACTCCGTCAAACAGAACCAAAGCAATTTGACTGCTTAAAAATCTCGGACCCAGAATGATGATAAACGTGACGGGCAGAAACCTTATCCTTACTCATAGCGAGGAATTAGGTTATGCTTAAAAGTAGGACTTCCCTCCCACTCTCAGTCATGGGCGAACGTTGCCTCTTCTGCTCCTTGTCAACGTCTATCCGTTTTCAGACTCAGCGTGATTAGACTTAAAAGCAGGTTTGTATCAATAATGCTAGACAATCGCCTCGTTTGTTACCGCTCCTGAGAGGGTCTCATGAACAATAATTGTTGTGCGGCTGTGATTAAAGACTCCGGGACGACGATTCTATTACATTCGCTGTGTTGACTCTGGTGAGTTCGCTGCCATTACTATTGCTCAATTGCGTTATGCAATCTATGCGAATGATGGTACTGTATTGCTGGAGCTGATCGCCGAACTCAAGGTGCTAAGATAGTCCACCAACACATCGTCATCCTTGTGCAGATCTTGCTGCACCCAAATGGACTGTATGGTATTCTTGACTGCTTGTATGCTTCGTATTCGAACATCTCTTTGGGTTCTTTCGATCAGATTGATGATGCCGATCCTCTGTTCGTCACGTTGCGCCTCGCAAGCAAGAATCAGTAGAGGAAAGAAGTGCTCGCAGGTGCATGACTGAACAGGTCCCGCGAAAGCCGCCTCCACCAGAGCATCAAGGTCCGCAGGGGGTTCCCATGGGCTTTGCGAGGCTCGTACAAGATAGATCTGAGTCGCCATCTGGTACAGTTCGATAGCGAAGGCGGCCTCCGGATCTGAAGCCGATGGGATGGCTGGTTTGACAGAGATATCTCGGACCCTTCCGCCAAGGTCCTTGAGCTGATTCTGGTAACTTTCGTCCTGACTTCGAGGATCTCGAGGATCTACTAGCGTGTCGCAAACCTCGGAAAGCAGATTGAGAATCGCATAAGTCGGATTCACGGGCGGTATATTCTGCCAGGGCTATCAGGGGGGAAGCAATGGATGGTCATGAGAGAATGAACTTACGGGTCTATATCTTGTTAAAGGGGGGTACTGGGGATTTTGAAGTACTTCATTCTGCTTGACTGATTTCGTAGGAATAAAAGACTTGTGGCGCCAATGGTGCAAAGCGAACCGAGATTGGGTCTCATGATAGTAAGCCCAGCTCAACAATTGACCAACGTCGCTGTCATGCGGTTCGTCCTGTAGTCGAGTGGCATGAATCATGTCAACAGCCCCCCATGTGTGCAAAAGCCACTCGCCCGAGCCTTCCGAAGGTTGCATTATCTATACAATAGAAAGCAATTGAGCAAAGAGGCGGTATGATGGCGACGGAGCTGCCACTCACCTCAAAAGCTCCAAGAACCATAGACGCAGCCACGTGCTGAGCCGCTCTCCCCAAGATCAAGGCCTCGCTGGTCACTGAGGTTGATAGATAGTGAATTGCCTGTATCTTTAGCTTCAAGGCTTGTTCATTGAGCCCATGACGGTGTAGTGAAGCATAAGAAAGTAACGAATTGAGAAGAGCAAGCCCGGAATTTGAATCTTTGGTTAAAGCCATGCTCATAAGCGCGTTTCGAATTTTCCAGGTATTCTGACCAAATGTGACCAATGACCTGTAGGCAAAGTTTTGAACTAGAATGATTATCAACCATAAAGATCAGGGTTGGGTATTAGGTGTTTCTAGGCTTACAGTGATGGAAAAGGTCTGCGTTCATAGAACATGAACCGACTCCAATTTGGGGCTGCCTCAGGAGCCTTGGAAACAATGGCGTTGTATGACAGCCATGGCTCTGCAGGGCCGAGTAGCCATACAATTCCATGTGATGCGAAGTTGCATTCACGAAAAAGGGATTGACGACACTTGGGTTCGACCGTTCAATGGCCGTCACTGCTGGTGCTTCAATACCCTTCAGCGCTCGTTTGTTGTCGCCTTCCCTCGGCCACGACAATCGAAGCTCGTATCCTTCACATTTTCGCTGGGATCTGTCACACTTCATGCAGGTTGGCAGAGCCCCGTCGCATTGGATCTTACGAGCTGAAGACGCGTCGTAAGCAAAGCCCAATCCAGATATCTGCACGCGTTACTGACCTGTGCACGTCCAGCAGCACTTTCGTGTCTTCATTGCGGCAACGGGTGGGCCGGCATCTTCTGGTGAGACCAGACTTCAGTGGCCACCGTGGTCGGGTCGAATCGGTAGATGTCGCAGTTCTCAATGTGTCACGAGAATCCCAGAAGCTTAGGCTCGGAGAAAGTTGCTGTCGCTGGGTCGCTGACATTTATGTAGTCGCATGCAAGCAAGTAAGACTAGCCATTTGTAAGCTATCCTCTAAGCCTCTTAAAAGATGCATTACGAAAGGATCCCCAAATCCTTCCCATCTATCACTTACCCCACAGGAAGCAACTTTTATCGAGGCTAAGAGCTTTGTGCATCTCGCCGCTTGTCCGTTTTGGGCGGTTTGCTGACTTCAGACTTCACTTTCACCCGTCACCTCTTGCGACAAACGCCACGATTGGGCGCCAGCAAATCCTCAGTATGCGCAAGTCGCTGAGTATTATGAATCAAGAGAAGCGACGTTTCGTTGCTACAGAATCGGTGCAAGAAGGCTTTGACCTGGATATAAATGATCGCTTTCGACCTCGCAATGTTGAACAGAAATTCATCTCAGAGTCATCCACAGCATCACTTTTCTGCTCTTCCAATACCTTCAAATCACACCAACCATCTATAAGACACAGTCAACATGACTACCTATCTCATCACCCAAGCAACTGGCCAGCAGAGCCGCTCGGTCATCTCCCATCTTCTCCAAGCGGGTGCCAAGATCCACGCAATGGTTCGCGACCTTCAGAAAGTCCACCCCAGCCTTCAACATCCCAGCATCACCCTCTTCCAAGGAGAAAGCAAGAACTTGGAAGATGTTCTTCAGGCGGCCCAAGGCTGCAAAGGAGCTTTCCTCAACACGGTCCCATACCCGGGTCTGGAGGCCTTGCAGGCTAAGACCATCGTCGAAGCATGCCAGAAAGCCGGCATCGAAACTGTGGTCGCAGCTACGACCCACGGCACAGGGAACAGAGCCTTCTGGGATGATGATATCATCAAGGAGCTCCAGCTACACCAGTACTTCTCCTCCAAGGCAGAAGTCGAGGAAATCGTGCGGGCCGGAGGATTCACGTCGTATACCATTCTCCGTCCAGCTGTCCTCCATTTCGACTTCTTTATGCCGGGTGCTTACGGCAACTTTCCTCGGCTCCCTACTCATGGAGAAATTGACGACGTTCTTCTCAACGGTGCTCGTGTGCCTTACACGGACGCCAACGACGTTGGAAAGTACGCCGCAGCAGCCCTGCAGGACCCGACCAAGTTCAATGGCCAAGAGATCAATATGGGAAATGAACTTCTCACCATGGAGGAAGTGCGTGACATTCTCGTCAAAGTCAGCGGCAGAAAGGTGGGAGTGACCAAGCGAACTCCCGAGGAGCTGGAAAAGCTGGGGATCAGCGTGTTTGGCCAGAAGTTCCATCAAATGTCTAATGTGAAGGATCTCGGCTGGGGTATTGAGTCTTCAAAGGATGTCGGGGAAATGTTCGGCATGCCTCTGGGTTCAATTGAAGAGGCATTGCAGAGGGACAAGGCTCTGCTCCTGGAGTGCTTGCCTGAAAACTAGCCTCGCGGAGAGGTTGGATCCGAGATTTGCCATTTGTAGAGTATCAGTAGCAGTACTATAGCTCATCGAGGGTGTTTAACATACTCCAATATGTTGCCGCATTTCGAATCAAGTATGATTTTAGAAGACTCAAGATTCCATGACTACTCAGTGTCTGTGACACGAGGTTCTATGATTGAAAGTCCCCTGTCTTCCTCCCGTGGCCGTGCTTTATCGTGTTTTCCCATAGAATGACAGCGGCTCATCCCATGGCTTAAGGTGAGCCAACCTCTCGTTCTCTGCATCGTCGCGATTTGAATGACTGGTGTAGCGGGGTCCGGCACCGGCGCAGCCCCACGGCGACGGGGCTGTGGATGAATCAAGTGATTTACTTTGAATTTAACCGTAAACTCAGAAAGCCCATCATGACTAGCAGCAATGCGACGCTTGAATAAGGCCATTGCAGGGCCCATCATCGACGCAGAAAGATACGTCGAAAATATGTATCAACTCAACTGTTATTTCCTTGAACGTGATTACTTTCCAATGCTATAAAAAAGATCCCGATGTTTCGCTCAGGCAATCGAGGAATGATTGCATCATTCAGACTGCAGCGGGCCTGCCAAGGAGAGGGGACACAAAAAACATGCTGCGATAATCTAACGATGCCGGCGTACTAACCAATCCAAGCATCGTCTGCCGGCACTTCCCCATCATGTTTTTTGTTGTATGCGGGGAAAGTGGGTATAAACAACTTCCAAGATTGTAGATCACCACTCCAGAATCCAACGCTTCGGGTCAATACTACCCGCCAAAATGTCATAAGAAGCGGCTATCCGCATCAGCCGGTGGGATGTAGGTTCTTGATGTTCTCCCTACAACGTAAATGTGACGATCATGGGAGTGCTTTACAAGTATGCCGTTGGCCTCAGTGGCGCCATGGCCGGACTATCCGGACTTGCGCAAGCAAACGACTTCACGCCATACGTCGACCCATTTCTTGGCACCGAGGGCCCAGAGCCTGGGTCATCTTATCAAGGCGGGAACACGTTCCCCGGCGTAACACTTCCGTTCGGAGCTGTGAAAATCGGCATCGACACTACGAGATGGGATACCAGGTATCAAGCCAATGCGGGCTACACCGTCGAAGGAAATGTCACAGCGATTTCCATGTTGCACGTCAGCGGCACGGGAGGCGCTCCGACTTACGGGCTGATCCCACAAATGCCTCTGACAACCTTGGAAGGGGTCAATCTACTCGACAACTTGACTTACATGCAGCCAAGAGCTGAGCACGATGTTGCCGAGGTCGGATACTACAAGACGTCTCTGGCAAGCGGCGTCATAGCTGAGATGAGCGCCAGCATGCACGTTGGTATCATCAAGTACGAGTTCCCTCGCGACGGTGGCCGTCACATCTTGGTAGACTTGAGCCACTACCTCCCAACTCGTGGCAAGGAGTCTCAATGGTACAGCAATGGTCTTTTGGAACGCAGCGATGATGGTTCTTCCTACACTGGTTATGGTGTGTACAGGGAAGGCTGGTCTCTTGGTGAGTTAGTATGCGGTATGTCTTGAAGATGAAAGCTCACGTTGACTCGGGAAGGCGGCGACTTCAAGGTCTACTTCTGTGGACAGTTTGATAGCGTGCCTGAAGACGTCGGACTATTTTCTGGCATCTACACGGACCCGTATTGGCCGAATACTACAGATGTCAAACCATTCTATAATAACGACACGTCGATTAAAGGTGGCGTGGATGGATACCAGTATGCCGATCGAGTTGGAGGCATCTTTACGTTTCCATCTAGTGTCGCTACCCTGACATCCAAAGTTGGAGTTTCGTGGATTTCGTCCGAGAAAGCTTGTCAATTCATCAAAGATGAGATTCCCCACAATGACCTTAACCAGACGGTCAGCGACGCAAAGTCTCAATGGAACGAAGAAGTACTCTCCAAGGTTGATGTCAAGACTGAGAACCAGACGCAGTTGGAAATGCTGTACACTGGACTTTACCATGCGCACCTGATGCCTTCCGACCGAACTGGCGAAAACCCTCACTGGGCGACTGAAGAGCCGTATTACGACGACTTTTACACGCTTTGGGATACCTTCCGCTGCACTCACGCACTAATCTCGTTGATCTTACCCAGCCGTCAGGTTGATATGAGTAAGTATTTGGAGTCCCAATGCCGATAACAGATGCTTACAAAATCAGTCCGAGCCATGATTGACATCTGGCGGCACGAGCGATTCCTGCCGGAGGGTCGCAGTCACAACCACAATGGCCGTGTTCAAGGCGGCTCCAACTCCGACAATGTTCTCGCAGATGCCTATGTCAAAAAGCTTGACACTAACGGTCTCATCAACTGGGCGGATGGGTATGCCGCCGTGCGAACTAACGCCGAGATACAGCCATACAACAACTTTGATTTCAACGACCCAACAGGAAGCACCAAGGAGGGAAGAGGTGCCTTGGATGACTGGAAGAAATATGGGTACGTATCTGTTAACTATGGCAGAAGCGTAAGCAAGACCGTCGAGTACTCTCTCAACGACTTTGCTGTGTCGCAAATTGCCAAGGGTGAGGCACCTGAGGAGGCGGCAACCTATCTGAACCGCTCGACGTAAGTTGTCTTCTCCTTACCTATGTTATAAGGACCATCACTTACGGTATCAGTGGCTGGCAAAAGATCTGGCTCAAGGATGCTAAGGCACTCAACTTCACCGGCTTTCTCGCTCCCCTCGAACCCAACGGTACAGTTCTACCAGGCTATAGCCCACTCGAATGCGGAGAATGTAACTGGCAGGCCATCTCTTATGAAGGCACGCCATGGGAGTACAGCTTCACTGCACCGCACGACATGTCCACCCTGATAACCTTGATGGGAGGTCCCGTCAGCTTTGAGCATCGACTCGACACGAGCTTCATACCCGGCTTGGCCGAGCAGGATCAAGGAAACAACGGAATCGGAGATATGATCTACAACCCCGGAAACGAACCCAGCTTCATGACACCGTTCTTGTACAACTACGTCGGACGCCGGCAATGGAAGAGCGTGATGAGAAGCAAGCATATTGTCGACGACTATTACCACGTCGGTGCGAGCGGCATCCCCGGCAATGATGATGCGGGAAGTATGAGCAGCTGGCTCGTGTGGAACATGCTCGGCCTGTATCCGGTTGTCACGCAGCCTGTCTATCTCGTTCTTTCGCCGCGATTCGAGGAAATTACTATCCGTCTGGGCTCGGATGGCGGACTCTTACGGATCACCGCAACTGGCCTTGAGCAAGGCCCGTATGTTCAAAGTTTGAAGGTTAACGGAAAGGAGTGGAACAAGAGTTGGGTCACTCACGATGACCTACTTGGGGAGAACAAGCAGGGAGGTCTGCTTGAGTTTGTGTTGGGCGCGGAGCCCGCGGAGTGGGACTCGGGCGAGTTACCGCCCAGCCCGGGTGCCCTTTGAGAGCTCGGATTGCCAAGTCAAGTACATGGATATGTAGATGTGGTACGATATGTACTTAATCTTGGACTGATCTCGCCGAATCTTCACCATAAGTAGACAGGATGATGCAGAGTGTCATCTCCTCTAATCACCGAAACTCACATTGATAAAATCATAGTGTAGCTGTCTGCTTTGTGATGGGGAATGATCTTCAATAATCTCTCGTCCTTGTTTAGCAATCGCACCGCGGCGGATCTGAAACTAGACATGTAGATATGCGTTATTTCGTCTTCTTGAGTCAACATATTGTGGAACTGCACATTCAAGCGGACTTTAGGGTACAATTAATGTGATCTAATCGGGTTTCGTGGGCCGCATATGCAGCTGTAGTGTCCTCAATGGGCAAGTCACAACGGCGACGCAACGTCTTGGTTTCAATCTCCGCGCATTCGCTTTCGCAATGCCTCGCAGGGATTCTCGTAAACGGCCTGTCACTCCTAAAGGTTGATCTGAGATTCGGGAGGGGTAGTCTCCATCTGCAGGGTTCAGAGATACAATGACTTCGATGACCTAGGCCGATCATTACGAGTAGATGGGTAGAGGGAGATTGCCTACCATATGGAAACCTTGCCAATGTTTAGCTCTAGCGACAAAGGTATGTTGCGTTCTGTCTTGGCAAAAGGGAGCCCACGAGTTGCAGTCCGATTGCAAGTGATAGAAAAATTGTCACCACTCACTCGCTGCTTGTGGTTCAGATGTGTCGTTGAGCTGTCTGGGCAATGGCCTAAGTCTTCCTTGCAAGGTTCCCATTGTTTTCGACTGATGATATGAACTAAAATATAAAAATACTATTCGTGGCTAATAAGAAATACGCCTAAAATGCCCAAGAGCTATGTAACTTGTAGTCTATCTTTAGAACTTGTGTAGAAGTGTCGTGTCGAGTATGAGGAGACAGAGCCATAGAACCACATGATTCCTGGTTCGCGTTCTGTCCAGAGTCTAAGCAATGCGTTCAGCGCCTGACCGGCTTCAGGTAAGCGTTCAAAGGCCCCTTCTCCCAAAGAAGGTAGATCTTCTGTCTGCCAGCCCAGTCGCGGCTGTCATCGGCAATCTTGATGTCGAAGTTCCACAACATGCGTGCGAGAATGAGGCGCATTTCGACGTAGGCCAAGCTGAGAAGGTCAATCATGTCAGCAATCATTCATTAAACACAGAGTTGGTTTCTGTACGATATCGATGGGAAACTCACTTTCTTCCAATGCAGTTGCGGGGTCCGACGTGGAAAGGCTGGAAAGCTTCCTTGTCATCGCTGGCGAAGACAGGATCTTGCATCCATCTCTCGGGGTGGAAGCCAAAGGGATCGCGGAAGTTTTTCTCAGAGTGGTACATAGCCCACTGGTAGACAGAAACAGTTGTCTGCGAAGCTCGGATGTTAATCTTAGTCCAGTTACTTTAGGACTTGAGGAGTTGTACGTACGTCTTCGGGAACATAGTGATCCGCGATAGTCGCGCCTCCCTTAGGGACAATGCGAGGCAGTCCGATGGGCACTGGGGGGTACAGGCGGAGCGCTTCTTCGAGGCATGCGAGAAGGTAGGGCAGGTTGCTGACGGAAGTGAAGTCGATTTCGCTCTCTTCCTTGAATGTGGAACGGATCTCGTCGGTCAACCTCTTGTGCGCGTCGGGGTTCGTCAGCAGGTAGTATGTTACGCCGGAAAGCAGTGTCGCTGTGGTCTCGGATCCGCCAATAATGAGAATGCTGCTGTTGGCCTTGAGCTTCTCAAAAGTCATATTCTGTAGACGATGTTAGTTTCTCCGTTTTCTCGAAATTTTTGAGATAATTTGCGACGCACCCAGTCTTCCTTCTTCTTCAAGAGACCCTCGATGAGATCAGGACGCGATCCCAAATCCATGCGACGTCTGAGCTTTGCCTCGGTAAACTCTTCGTGATGCGCTCTTTCGCGCTTGGCCTTCTCAGGAACCATGGCCATCATGAGCTTCATAACAAAAGGGTAGTGTTTTCCGGTCTGCAAAACAGTGCCTAATCGCGCCATCTGGAAGATTGCCGCAACCCAAGGGTGGTAGTCTGAGCCGTCGAGACAACCAAACGATTCACCAAAGGCAAGGTCACCGATAACGTCGAAAGTGGTGTAGTTATACCAGGCTGCCAAGTCGAGGGGCTTCGCACCGTCATCTCCGTGCTGGTGAAGTCTCTGGATGAGCAGGTCGACATATCCCTTGATCATAGGCTGCTGGTCACGCATGCTCCTCTCGCTGAAGCCGTGCGCCAGGGATCTGCGCAGAACGGTGTGCTCCTCGCGATCAGAGCTGACGATATCGGAGGGTGCACCGGGAACGGAGCGGTAGAACTTGAGCGATTTCTCCATCTCGGCGCCGCCCTGGGTCTTGTGGCCCATAATGTCCTTCCAGGCGCGCGAGTCGTGGAAGGCGAGCTCATCGGGGGCGATGCGGACGACCGGACCGTACCGCCTGTGCAGGTCGAGCATGTCAAAGGGGAGCGTGCCGGTGAGCAGCTTGTAGCAGAACGGGATGCGGGATGTGCGCATCCATATCGGGCCGGGAAACTTTCGGAGCGGGTGGAGAAAGAGGCAGTAGAATACTTGAGCGTGCTGGTAGGCGACGTACTGCAGAAAGTTTGTTAGATTGCGGTGTTCGGTTGTGTAATGTAGCCTCACGGAGCTGAAAATCAAGCTTTCAAGTGCCGGCCGGGGTAGAGCGGGAGACGGGGACTTACAACGCCTACTAACAGGCCTAGAGTGTTGACGAAGCCAAGTTCTAATAACTTCATGTTTGCGAAAAGAATTGACTCTCTGTGAGTGCCAGGATGCGACAGAGATAGAGAGAGAGGAAAAAGGTGAAAGGTGAAGAGTTCGAGAATGAGTTGACAACCAGACCTCAAATATCAACACAAGGCAGGGCGTTCCATCAAGCTGGTTTTATTCTCAACTTCAGACTCACAAGTTCAGACGAATGCGAGTTACGAGTACGATAATTAAGATGTCTAAGCCTTAAAGGCGGGGAGGGGTGTGTGTTTTCGTCTACCTTCTCCCCATGGCATCATGGCATGGCGGCGGACTTTAGGGTACCGTTTGAACTTGGTCTTGGACCGGTTTCTCTCAGGTCCCATGTTTTGCAGAGGAATAGCGTGTGACAAGCGACCCTCCATCTCCATCCCATGGTTGTCCCGTCCCCAGTATGCCATGCTTTGGATGCCTTCTTCTTCTCTTCTGTGGGAGAAACCTGAACCCCACCCATGGCGTTTCACTACAATTACCGACATGTAGAACAAATGGTGACCATCCTCGGCGTGGATCACATTAGTGTAGTAGTAGCAGTAGCTTAGCTGTCGCGGCCCGCAGCTGGTGATCAATGCTCTACTACCTGCCTCCTCTAGGGCAAGGCAATAGTGGCCTGTAGCCTGTAAGGCGAGTCTTGCAACACTGTCGTGTAAAGGAAAGGGGTCGGTCTCGTGTTCGGTCTCGCACTCTGGGACCCTTCCATCGTGGTCGTCGATCGTATGGCACTGTAGAAGTGGTGCTCCGTGCCATGCGTGCACTGCATGAGGGGGTGGTAAAAAAAGGAACCGGGAATACTGCAACGGTTCAGTTGCCATCAAATGTCTTGGGATGTGCCAAGTTACATCTTGGGAGAATTTGGCGAATCAGAAAGGCATAATTACGATGCCGCGGCAGCTTTACTGCTTTTGCGTGGGGATCTGGGCCGTTGAGTGGGTTGTTTTGGGGTCCGTCTTGGCCTACGCTAGCCTCGAAGTTCGAACCCTTCCCTCCACTGAGTGCCCATCCGAGGATTCATTACTCGTGCTTTGTGTGATGTGTGTGTGTGCGAGCGGGAGAGGAGGGGGGGGGGGGGACCATGACGAAAGACGAGACGTAGGCGGACTTGTCATTGGAGACCCGATGAGTGTGCTGGTTCAAGAGCTGGTTGCAGATCAGTACGACGTCCCGTCAAGCTGGATGAACCCCCAATCTCTGCGACGGGTTTTTGGATGACATCGACAACCCGAGACCGACCCCGAGATAGGCTTCCAAGAGATCGCCACGGGCAACTCGCAAGTGGTCGTGGCAGTGAATGAGACACAATGGCAATAACGCATTTTGCTGACTTGCTAAGTCCGACGAAACATATGATGAGCGGAGTTTCTCTCTGCTATGGCTGAAGACACAGATTTGATGACGACCATTAACATCGCTTGGAGTACGACGAAATCATGGTTTCGCGGGAGTCGAGAGTTATTAGTTATTGCGACCCACAAGCTTTCGGGAATTTAGCAGCGCCTCGGAGGACATAACGAATCCGGGATTGAATGCTGCTCGGCTATGCCCCTTGCAGTTACCTCATGGTTTGTGAGCTGTGCCAAGTCGGGGGATTGACGAGCGTCCGACTTTACGCGGATACCTATTGCAAATAAACTCTCCAGCTCCCCCACTCCTTATCGGTAAGGAATGTTGGCTGTATTGATATGAACCTGTCCTGGTTGCGTAGCGACGCCTCTTCTCTCCTCTCGACCATCTCTTTTCTTTCAGTGTTTCCACGTCTTCGATTTCAAGTCTCTCACTCCTCTCCATGTCTTCACGCGAAACCTCTGGTTCTACTCCCGTTTCAACTTCCGGCTCGTCTTTCCTCACTCCTGGCTCATGTGGGCATGTGCGTTGAGTGAACATCGAAGCTCCTGCCACGCATTCACGAATAGACTTCACGTCACAGTTTCATGATGGCGTCAACTCCTCATTCTGCCCAGAGGGGTTGATAAAGGCAACGTTCATGTCGGGGACCATTCGTGTTTACGTTCAACCCTACACCCATTGACCTTGTCTTCCAGAAGACTCGAGTGAAGCTTCTGCCCTTGATTGGCACTTCCGTCCGAAGCCTCGCTCCAGCCACGCTCTCTTGACAGCCATAAAACTGCGCTGTCAGTGATTTTATGTGCAACACCCCTTTCAACACTTTCGCATCACAGATTGCAGAGACTGAGCCTTCTATCGTGTGTGCCCACAAAATATGTCAAATATCTACTTCCAACCAACGGACATGACCTTCCGCATCAAGATGTTCTGCCCAAACAATTGGTTGATAGACTTCTGCTGGGGTCCCGTAAAGTTTCGGCTGACCTGCAACTTGCAAGCAAACCGCAGGGTCACAACCAGGACTTCCCCACGATCGGTCCGGTCCGAAGACCTTCGGCCGACAGGCCTCTTTTGCAGCAGATACAGGCCCTTAGTAATTGGGAAAAGTCTTGGCGCAATTCATGATGGGCAGAAAGCTTAAGTTGCAAGAGCTGAAAACGAGGCTGGAAGTTGGAAAGGCGCCATTAAGTGTTTGGCATTGTGGCAGCATTTATAGCTGTCAAATTCCCATTCGAAGTTTACTTCATGCTGACCAAAATCCGGTGCATGTCTGAACGCAAGATCGTCCTCAACGATGGATCGAGTGGCTTGCAGGTTACTTGCCGGCCGTCGACGCCAGTCCGTGAGACAGCATCTGAGCTGCAACATAAGACGACGCCTCTTTCGCATACCGACAGTAGCTTACGCTCCCAAAGATAGTTGATAAAGTTCAGCGTTTGTCCCCTTGGAAACATGCGATTACCCCTCCTTTTCTCGACCTGTGTCCAGTCTGACCTCGTCTTTTGTTAGTGGCTGGTAAGCCTGTGAGAAGATTCGAAATCAACTTTCTGCGCCTCACCGCATCGATGGAGAGCGCCTGTTTCTCGTACGCTTGGTGCATCATGCTGGACATTGCAATCATCGGCGGTGGAATTGCTGGGCTCACGGCAGCCATCGCGCTCCGGCGAGCAGGCCATTCTGTGACGATATACGAGAAAACGTCGCTGAACAACGAAATCGGGGCCGCGATCAACGTACAGACGAACGCATCCCGTCCGCTGATGGCTCTGGGAATGGACCCGGTGAGAGCGAGGTTCGTGATGGCCACAGGCAGCCGGCTCATGCGAGGCGATACCCTGGAGGTGACCCACGAACTCAACCTGGGGGCTATTGCAAATAGTTACGGATCGCCGTGGTACTTTGCGCACCGGGTCGATTTGCATGAGGAATTGAAGCGGATGGTGGTAGCGGCTGACGGCGGCCCGCCTGTGACGTTCAAGTTGCGGAGTGAAGTGACGAGTTATGTGAGCTTGCGTGAACCAGGAGTCTGATTTTCTGCAGAGACAACAACGTGCTAATGATGGACTCAGAATCCGGAAGCTGCCAGCTTCACTCTTCGAGACGGAATCGTCATTTCTGCAGATCTTGTGGTAGTTGCGGATGGTATTCACAGCGGTGGCGTCGAGGCGATTCTCGGGTCTCCCAATCCCGCGTTCCCCGCAGCCCTAGACAACTTTTGCTACCGGTTCTTGATACCCATGGATGCTGTACTTTCGGATCCAATCACCTCCAATCTATACAAAGATGCAGCTGGTGGCTTTAGGCTATTTCATGGGGACGGCAAGAGAATTGTCACATATCCGTGTAGGGAGTATGTTGGCCAGTCGGAATGGCACACTGAAGCATCGACTGACGCGCCGTAGCGGTGAGGTGCTCAACTGTATTGCCATTTTCCACAACGAACTCGACTCTTCGAGCAGAGAAGGTGAGTATGCCTGCCTTCGTATTCGCGCAGGGGGCACGCAGATCAAAGTCAACCACGGGCAGCTGAGCTCCGGCTTGCTGGCCTGAAAGAACGAGGAGCTGACTATGATCCTCAGATTGGCACAACTCGGTTGATCAATCTCACTTACTGAAGCTTTTTGAAAACTTTCATCCCAATGTGCTGGCTCTTCTTCGGTAGGTGAGGCTTCGCGGAAACGCAAAGCGTGGCGGCTGATGAGTGACAGCAAGGCAAACGAAGTGAAGCAGTGGCCTCTGCTGTACAGAGCCCCCATTCCAAGATGGACCAAGGGTCGCATGGTTCTGATTGGGGATGCAGCTCACCCAATGCTTCCGCGTAAGGCTTCTGCCCAAGTTACCATGCCTTTACTGATACCCTATCTGCAGACCAGGGGCAAGGAGGTGCGCAAGGCATTGAGGACGGCGTTGCCCTCGGGGTGTGTTTATCCAACTCAACCTCAAAAGACGATGTAATCAAGAGACTAGAAGTGTTCGAAAGAATCCGTAGAAATAGGGCCAGCGTGGTCACCATCTTCAGCAATGCTGGACAAGAGGAGGCGGAGAAGATCAAGGAAGCTGCGTCCGAGTTCATACCTGTCGAGCGCATCCCCGGTGAGTCGCGACCTACTCCCTCTACGGTTCCGACAAAAAGGCACACATCTAATCAGACTGAATAGCAAATCCAAGCGGCTTCTATGACTTCCACTTTAGTTACGACATTATGGAAGACTCGGCTGAACACATGCGGAAGCTCGATCCCAACTTTAGGCTTCCCGAAGCGTTTCTGGGAAACGAACCAGGAAATCGAGCATTTACATGAGAGAAGAATGACTTTGAGATGGATTACTTCGAGGTTAGGAGTTGTGAAAGAACGGAGCCTGTCGTGTAATTGAAGTTATCGACGACTTCGTTCACGGGGTACTTCTTTCCACTTACTTGCATGAAGTACTTCAGTCAAGGTACCTTTGAGAATGTTGAATGATGAAGGAAGGCACGGGGCTCTTAATTGAAGGAAAGAAGTAGCAATGATCACTTTATGATATTCGAGTAAAGAGGTCCTCGCTCACTCCTGACATTTGTCGTGTTGGTGGTCTTAGGTGCTGCCACAGACTCTCCCTCTTGTCTTTGTCCTCTTCCTGTCGTCACATCAACGATCGACAAGAATTCCTACTTCTGTATATCTTTGAATCCCGCTCTTCCTAGGTATAACTGTCTTCCCCGAGCGAGGTACTTGAGTCGGCGACTTTCCACGCCACCACTAGCTACCTCGACGAGAGCGATAGCATTCTCGAGCTCTTCCAGTGATTCGGACCACGAAGGATCGCGGCCGGATTGACGACCTGTCACCGCCATGGACCGAAGTCTCGACCAATGGGACGAGATTTCGCCATTGCTCCGGTTTCTTGTTGTTATCGGAGTGGTCGAGACACTTGCTACCATCTTCTATTTCTGTGTCACGCTGTGGTGCCTGGCCAGACACAAGAGGACGATTGACGATGAGAACGTAGGTAGCATTGCTACGCCCATTCCTCCCATCACAGCACTAATCCATTCACTTCGTGTCTCAACAGCCTCCTATCAGGACCAAAGAATCACGCGATGTCCACGGCGGCAAATATCGAGCATAGGAAGATGAGCCAACCCCGCTAGCTCGCGTCGTCTTGGTTCCCGAGCGAAGAGGAGGACCCAAGCAAGATCCGTGGGAGCCGGCCAACCCCTCACCTGCACCCTCTCTCGCACCGGCTGCCCCGTTGTATGCCATTTCAGAGGCAAGCCTCAGCAAATACTCATTAACAGTGCTAGCCTTGAAATCACACGATCGGTCTTGACTGCAGGCGGTATAACTGCGGTAGGAATACATGGGATGGATGGGACCCTGATGAAGGACAGACTTTCTTCACTGAATCGGCAGGCCTACTGATACACTCTACTAGTATACACTCTTTACCCCCTTAACTTCTGTCTTCCGCCCGTGACTGTTGCTCCGGTGCGTAGACGCGTTGAACTGCGCGGTCGTGGGCCGCCTTGAGCAGTACCAGCTCGCGTTCGTGCCTCCTCCGCATCTCCCTGGCATCAGGAGGCAGCATCGTCTTGTACAGAGTTTCTCTCGCCTTGACCTCGGTACAGCGTGCCAATACGGCCACGCTTGCCAGCCATGCGGTAAGGAACGCAAGGAAGGCTTTCTGTCCCACCAGCCAAGAGTCCAGGCTGAAGAAGTGCACCACCAGCAGCGTCACACTCAGCAGGCATTGAGCGATGGGCAGTGCCAGATCCACGATGGGCCACACATTCGGACCAAAGGCACCTCTATCCTTCATCTTTTCTTCGTAATTCATCAGTTCGTTTTTCCACTTGAACTCGCATTCGTGTGCTGACTTCATGTCCACAAGGCGCAGATGATATGCCTCCGTGGCATATACGATCCGCGAATGCCGCTCTTCGTACGAGTTCTTGGGCTCGGCCCATTCGGAGAAGAGTGCATCAAGCTCGGCTTTGGCTTCACGGACCAGTCGCGCCCGCCGGCGGGGCGTATCGGGAGCCTCGATTCTGGTTCCTGCGGGGGCAACTTGAGTTGGTGTCGATGACCTCGTCCTCGGTGATAGTAGAGGAGGCAAGGTTTTGTCGGTTTCGATGGTTGGGGATTTTCCTAAAAAGTCTCCTGATTCGTACTCGGTTGGGTCCGAATCTATGGGATGCGCTTCGTAATCGTCGTCGGATCCATAATGGCTTTCACCGTCGCTGTCACTTTCTCCGACCTCTTCCTCATCCTCGCCCTCATACTCAACATCGTCGTCTTCGCTTTCTTCAGCCATGAAGCTAGAGCCGAACCGATAGGGGTCCTGATCAACGCTCTCACGTGCAAACATTTCGCAGATTTGGACCAGCGCATCGACACATCTCCTGTCCAGCTGCGAATGATCCTGCACCTCCTGCTCCCTCTCGCACACTCTACCAATTGTGTCGATGCACTTATTCACAACGGCAAACTTTGCATTCTGCTCAGTCACGCTCGCCGAGTTTGATGCAATCGCCGCCCCAGCCTGTTGCTTAGCCAAGTCCCTCAGCTCTTCCAGCGTCTCCTCGACCTTGTCCAGCCGCTCCACCACGTTGGAAAAGCTGTCCACCGATTCTGTGGGACTATCATCCTCATCCTGTTCCGGGACAGCCTGCGGGAATGACGCGAAGCACATTTGAGGCGCGTACATTGGCGAAGGCGCAGTCTGCGGTCTCTTTGGCAGATTTATCGTGCCTGGCGAAGTCGTGCTCGCCGGCGACATTGGTGATATGGTGGTGCTGACTGACGACCGCCTTTGAATCTCTCTCCACCCTTCCACCATGCGCTTCATAAACGCTGCCTGGTCGGGCATAATCTTGACGACCTCATCGGCGGCACTGGAGATGAAGTCATCCGGGAGGAGAACGGGGCAAGTTGATGATCGGCGAAATGGTGGCATGGAGACCGCCGTGGATGGGCGGCTGCTGTAAGTGGCCGTAGATGGACGGCTGTTGTAAGTGGCCGTGGACGGACGGCTGTCATTCTTCTTTTCGGTGCGTTCTGACTCGGAGGTTGTGTCCTGGAGCTGCTGGTGCTTGTAGGCGTCGACCTCGTCAAAGTAGCCGTCTAGGCTTTGTGAAGACTTGCGTGATGAAGCGGGCGTCTCGATACCGTCGTAGTTCTCATCCTCCTCATCTCCCTCTTCCTCGTCGTCGTACTCATCGCTGGAGAACATGAAGTCACCGAGTTCCTCAGAGAGTCGTCTTGGTGCGAGGGCGGGGGACCCTTGTCGGGGACTAGCTGGGAGATCCCTCATTGTGCTGGTGCGAGTTCCTGCTTTGGTGTGTATGTACCGTAGTTGATGAGTTGTTCAAAGTCTCTAATGAGGCTCCGTCTCTTGGAAATTATGGATGAGTGAGTTGCTGCTCTGCGTGGATGATGGCAGTTTGAAGTGTTGGTCTTGGTCAGCTCCCAAGTGGGCGCTGGTTGGGATGGCGGGATTGCGGATTGCGGCAAGGGGGGTAAAGGGAGGGACGGAGGGATGCGAAAGGGGAGGGGACCCTTGGCGCGGGGTGAGTGGGCTGGGGGGCTGGCGGTGAGTGAAAAAGGCCGCACGATGGTCAGTTTGCGTTGCTGCTGAAGGCTGCAAGGTGATCCCCCCAAAGAGAAGTAGAAAGAGAGCACGATCCTTTTGAGATCTCGGGAATATTTTGTTACGACGAAAAGACAAGAAAAGATGGGATGGAGCGATCTATAGAGCTAGGATGAAACCTTTCGGAGACGGGTTGTCGTGGTTTGTGGTTGTGGTTGGATGCAGTTTAAAGAACGGGCTGCAGCCAGAAAAGACTAAAAAAGACTGAGAGACGAGACAAATCAGGAGAAGATGAAGAGAGTAGTTGTCTGTAAGGTAGGTATGTATGTATGTATGCAAGACTTGCAGATGCGCGCAGAAGAAGGTGTTTCCGATCGGCGGTCAAGATAAACTTCGGTCAAGACCTAGGCACGGACGGGACGTCCATCCACGAACATGAGTCTATGACTGCTGTAAAGGTACGGTTGACGAGATGGTAGGAGTATGTATGTATGTATCAATCAATGTATAGGTAAGCGAGTGGATGAGTACAGCAGACCAGAGACAGAGGCAAAAGAGTGGAATCCAATGGGAAAGAGAGACGAATGACACAATGAGAAGAGAGAATGAGGGATAGCGCGCCTCTCGAAAGGGATATCACGCGAACGAAGGTAAGGGAAGGTGGTGAAAATGGTTGGATTGGAGAGAGAAAAGGCAGGCAAATCGACCGTTGGCACATGCGAGTTTGTGTGTGTGTGTGTGCGTGGATAGTGGATTCTGCAGCACTTTAGCTGGGGAGAGCGGTGGTTCGTTCCAACTCGTAGCTTTTGTGGTTCACATTCGTTCTGGATCGGAAGGACTGACAGGGGTTGATGCATCACTCTAACTCAAGATGGAGAACAGAGGTGAGGTGAACTGTGAGAAGAGCCTGGGCTGGACAACGCAGTTCTGTCGGTCTACCCGTCCATCGGTCGAGACCCCTCCAAAGTGCCATCACCAGATTTGCCGGATCGTAGTCGTCGTCGAGAGCGTCAGAGTGAAGGTCAGAGTCCGCAATTGTCGTCAAGTGTCGTTACCCATTGATGTATGTATAAATGCAATATCGTATTGTACAGACTGTGTCCATCCCATCCCATCCCTCGGAAACCCTGCCTCGTACCTGGTAGGAAACCCAAAACCCAAAAAAAACCAAACGATGGCCAGCGATGGCCAGTGGTATCATAATCTTCGTCAATGCAATTTTTGGCCATCTTCTTTCTTCACTCTGCCCTTTTGTCGGTGTCCCTCCCTCGTCTTCTCGAGAAAAAAACATGTCTCCATAAAGCGCGGCCCAAAGCCCACCTGCATGATGCCACGTCAAATATCCCCTGTAGCTGCAGCAAAAGGGCAGCAAAAAATAATAAAAAAAGAGGTTCCCAAAGACCCAAAGACCCCTCCTCGGCTAGGAACAACGCCGCAGCCGCCGTGCTATCCCCACACACCGCTCTCTGCTCCCCAAACCCAGCCACCTCACCGGACGAACCATCCGCGGCGGGGATCGCTTGTGCGCTTGCACCAGGGCCTGGCAGAGAGAGAGACAGGCAAGGTGCAGTGCACACGCGATCCTCAGAAGTCTGTACCCTATCCGTACGTCGGGTTTCAGCTGTAACCGTACTGGATCCCAAGTCCGACCTTTGGGTTGTCGCCGCCAAGGGGACCGCCCACTCGCATCTTCTTGGTCGGGCTCACCATGTCCGATCGTGCCTCTTGACCGTGCCCGTTAGGCACACCCCCATTGAACTTGCGCTTGTCTGCACCACTCTTAGTAATGCCAGAGAACAGCTTCGCCTGGAGTCTGGCGCTCTTCTCTGCCGGCGCAGGTGTGCCGTCGCGAGAGCCCACTGAGCTGGCAACTTCGAAGCTCTCACGCGGATCGCGGCGCAACATCTCTGACGCTGCCTGGCTCGCTTGGCTCTCGTAAACTTCCTCCTCGTCCTCGTTGCCGCTGCCGCCGGGGAGGGGACGGCGAGCGCCACGGGAGTTGCGGGATGCTTGCGAAAGAAACGAGGCCGACTTGGCGACGGACTCGAGAGCCTGGCGGGCGAGCTCCTCGTTGTCATCGGCCGAAATAGTGCTCTCGCGGCTCTTGCGAGCGCGCTCTTGGACCCGCTCCTGGATGGCCGGTGGCGGCGTGCCAGGAATCATTTGTGAGTTGCTGTACCGGTACCGAGGCTCGCTCTGAGGGACCAGGTTCACAGAGGGCAAGAGGCCAGATTGCTGCTCATGGCGCTGGGTGCGGGAGAGCGGCGTCGTTGGCAGGGCAGATAGAGACTGTGCGTTTCGGGTGTGCTTGGGAGGCATGCGGGGCGCGGGTCTGACCGCTGTCGTGGGCGTCGAGGGCGCGCTGTTGTTGTCCTGGCTGAGGGCCTGCAGCAGAGCCGCAATGGGCTCGGGGCCGTGGTCTCGGTCGACCACCCTGGCCTCGCGGTTGGCCGACCGAGGCGTCTGCTGCTTGGGAGTAGCTCGGTGAGGCTGCTGGGGAGTTGAGACGGTGGCCTGCTTGGGCGTCATGGCACCGTGAAAGATTCCGCCGGGGCTGCACAGCATGTGAAAGTGTTCCCGATTCTCCCGGATGCGGTTGAGTAGCATGTCGCGCTCCTCTGTGAGGCCAATAATTTCCTCCTCCTTGTGTGAAATAACCTTCTTTGCCATCTTGACTCGTCGCACGAGGCCCTCGTTCTCGTCCATGGCCTCTTCGTACCACATCTTCATCTGGAGGTACTTCATCTGCGCCGACTCTGATGCAGCGCTGAGTTCGCGGACAGCATGACGGGAGTACTCTGCTGTCCTCAGGGCCTCGATCTCTCGCCTGGTCATCTCGTGCTCCACGGCTGCCCTCTTGGCATCCTCGTCCGCCTGGAGGCTCAGCAAGTTGTACTGGAGCTTGTGGTGCGCGGCCTCCATCTTCAGCTTTGCGTGTTCTGCGATACTAGCCTGCATCATGGCTCGAAGTTCGTCTGCGGTGGCTTCGACAACCTGCTGAGGGGCGGGTGGGATATATTCAGTCCCAAGACCTCCATCTCGTCGTACCGTCGCGTTGTGGCCTGTGGCGGGCGGAGAGAAGAGAGCGGATCGCTGGGAGGCGCCGTATGCGGTCTGCAGAACGCCGTTGCCAGTGTGCGCAAGCAATTGTGACGAGGGCGGCGGTGTCAAGGACGAGGGGATGACGGCGGAGGAGCTCAGACGGTCGTCGTTGACTTCGGTCTTGAATGATTGGTTGGATTCGGCGGGCGATGCGGGCACTTCAGTAGAGGGGAGTGTCACTTGTGATGAGTCCAATGCGAGGACATTGGTGTCTTGAGGTGTCGTGGGAACGGTCGTGGTGTCGTTGGGCTGCTGGGCTGCAGCATCCGGGGCGGTGGCCATGATGGAAGTGGGAGCGATAGTTCGGAGCGAGCGAGCTATGCCTCAAATGCGATCGGGGAGAAGAGGTGTGAATGTTGGTAGTTGATTGCTGCAATTAGAACGCGGGGTAGCTGTATAGGCGACTCTAGTAGAGAAGTGCCGGTCTGAGAGCTTGAGGTGGGTGAGTGCGGAGAGGAGGCGTCGCGTTGAGAACCACGTCAGCGATGGAAACAAGGCAGCGTGGATTGGTTCAGAGAAGCCGGCGATGACAGAAGCGACACAGAGACGTGGAGCGTTGGGTTCGATGCTGAGATATAGAGACGAGGTGGCGGGGAGAGGAAAGGGGAAAAGAGAGCAAAGGCTCCTTGGTGGTGTCTCTGTGCTCAACCGAACGCTCTTTGTCTTCCGCACGGGTTTGACGGTGGACGGTTAGTAGCGTGCGTGTGTGTATGCGTGTGGTGTGTGGTGTGTGGATGTGGTGGTGTATTGGCGATGGTTGGTGGGCGGTTGCTGTGGGAGCAGATGGAAACGGAACGGCGCCAGAACCCAGAGCAGAGCAGAGCAGAGCACGAGCCAGCGGAATACCATAAAAAGATGGACGACAATCAGCGGACGGCTGGGGCTGGGGAGGAGGTGGAAATGGACGGGGGGGGGAGCTGGGCCGCGAAAGGGAAAAACCAAGGAAAAAAGAAAGGCTGGCGGTGGGCGGCTGAGTCGACGCTAGGCCCAGACGAGGATCAGGGTGGGCTCGGTGAAGCTTCGGGTGAGCAAGGTGAGGAGCATGGGCCTGACCAAGGTGAACGGTAAGTGACTTGATTGGTTTCTTCACCGAGAAGCTAGTCATCCCGTCTTTGTGCTCCCGAGACTGCCCCTTTTCTGCTAATTCACTTTCACCAAAAGCCACCCAAGGCACCAGAGGCTGGGAACGGAAGCCGATTGCTATAGCTTCATCAACTCCAACCTCCAATATCCCTATAGAGTAAGGATAATACTGTTTCTGTTTTCTTTCGTTTCCCTACTAGGTAAGTATCCATTGACTCCAGTCGCGACTACTCCGTAGAATCAATCACGCCTTGAGGTAGCTCAGAATTACCTCCTTGAACTGCTCAAAGTTGTCCACAAACGGGACGTGACCCGCGTTCTTGATCAACTTGAGCTCAATCTTGTTGTCCTTGCCAGCCGCCCTGAACCCCTTCTCCACCTTGTCCCGCATCTCCTGCATCGCCTGGGGAAGGTTCGCGTCTTTTTCACCAACAACCAGCAACGCCTCGTCAACACCCGACCCAATCCTCTCAAACAGAGGCCGGATATCAAAGCTATCGCTCTGCAGCGCAAAGCAACACGTCTGGAATCCCTCCACGGTAGTCTGGTTCATGATGGCGCGCGCCCGAGCCGCCTCCTCAGGGTTGGCCTTGATCCATTCGGCGCCGAACCAGCGGTCCATCGTCTGGTCGACCTGGGCCTCCATGTTGCCGGCCTCGCCCGCCGCCTTGGCCCGCGGGCCGAACAAGTCCTCCACCCCGGCGTGCTTGGGCGACGAGCTGATGGTGTCGCAGATGGCCACCTTTTGGATGATGCCGGGGTACTTTGTCGCAAAGTAGAAGCTCGTCGCGGCGCCCATGGACACGCCGATCCAGGCAAAGAGCTTCTCAATCTTGAGCGACTTGACCAGAGAGTGCACGTCGTCGGCTATCGTCTCGAACTCGGTGTCGAGCTTCTTTGGTGCGGACGACTTGCCGTGGCCCGGCTGGTCAAAGCGCAGCGTACGGAAGCCGTTGGCGTGGAGAACCTTGACAACATGATCCCAGAGCGTAAAGGGCGCCGCAAGCGAGTTGGCTAACAAGACGACGGGCTTCGACTCAGGGCCCGAGAGGTCGTATGATAGAATGCGGCCGTCGGGCAGGCTGAGTTGCTGTGCAGATGCCATTGTGATTCCCACCCTGGTCTTGTAGTGCTTAGGTAGGTCGTGATGTAAGGTGATGTCTGGTGATGCTTGATAGTGTCACGCAACGTGCCCAGGTGAAGAAGTATGGATTTCGTAAGAGGCAATAAATCAAGACGCAAAGCTACGGAATAAAGCGACGGACCTTCCGTGATTAATATCAGAGAGACGACAACCTCAACCTTTTGTGACTTTCACGTCATCGTCATGTGACGGCCGCGGGGTCGGATCGGAGTGGCAGCTTTCGGGAACTGGCAATGGTGGGGTTGCCTCCTGCCCGGCACCCGATGGTCTCAGACTCCACGTTCTAACGTTATCTAATCAAAATACGTACCCTTCCTTTCCAGTAAGGTAGGTACCTGGCACGGGCCACTCGAGCTCCAGCTCCAGCTTCCTCCAGCTTCTTCTCCCACTCGCATCACACACAGCCAGCTCAATCAATAACGCTCCAAAGCAAAAACTGAGTCGGGCAAATCATGGGGAGAGAGCACTTGATGATACTGTATGAGAAATCAAAAAACAAAAGGTAAGGTGCGTCAAGGACAGGATTCGAACCTGCGCGACCGAAGCCACTGCCTAATCTGGAATCAAGGTTTGATAGCAGGGCAGCCCATTAACCACTCTGGCACCTTGACTAGTGACTGTTGTTGAGCGGTTTGCCTCTCCGGAGCCCTGAGTAGGGCCCGTGACTGCGTCCTTTCCGCCCCGCTCATCGAGCCTGGTCTCCCTTCACAATCTTGTCTCGAAGTCAGGAGGCTCGAAATCCGTGTTCGTCCAAGGATCAACCTCAGGTGTCGTCGGCGACGGCTAGCAAGTTGGTCGAGAACTCTAGCGAAAAGTTTACGAGCGGCCTGTGAGTTGGAAGGAAGGAAAAGAGGAATCAAAGTTTGAAGCAAAATGTCATGGAGAAAATCTTTCGGAGCTAGCCACCTTACTCGGTCGCAATGGCCACTTGCTGCCCCCCCTGGTTCGCTGCAACCTTACGGTGTGGTGGCGGCAACGGTGGTGCAGCGAATAGCTGTCCTTGAAGGCGTCACTGTCATGACCCGAAGTTTGAGTTAGCCTATTCGTCCTCCAAAGAGAAGAGATCCATATTTCTTGAATCAACCGAGACAGTTGTCGATTAAATGCTCTTATTGAAATTCGCAGCAGGCTAGAGAGCAATATGATCCAGTGATATTTTACGCGGACCATGAAACATGCACGGCAATAAAGAGTTAGAATACGTTCAGATGTGTTTGTCCAATTATAAAAAATACCTACGTACGAACCGTAATTGGAGAGAACAGTTCTCGCAGGACAGCTATCCTAGCATTGAGACAATAGAGCCAATTGACATCGATTTCAGAGCTATGATGATTTCTTGTTAGCGCATGCTCGCTATCATCCTCAACCAAGAAATACTTACAAGTCTCAGAGCGGGTGGTTGCAAAAGCCGGGTTCCATTCAGCAACGCCCGACTCTTTTTCGGTCTCCCTTGCAGCTGCTGGAACGCCATCCGGATATGCCTACTATCAACTGGCTTCCTAAGACCCTCAGGTTCAGCGAAAAGCCCGCCCAGACCTGTCTTCAAGCCTCTGTCTTCCCCAGTCATCGCCGTCTCCTCCCCGAGACGGAGCGCCTGCTGCTTCTGGACTTTGAGTGCCTGCGCCGTCAACTTCTGCACCATCTCACTCGTCAAGAACCCCAGGATATCCATCACATCATCATTGGGCTTGTTCTCTGCAATTACGCCCAGCCCACACCATTCTCGAAACCTCTTGGCCTTGCGATAGGTCAGCGACGCATGCCGATACTCTGACCACGTCGCATACTCGGCAACAGTCATGTCCCTCGTCCGCTCATCGTTTCTCCTCAACTTCTCGAGCGCGGCCTCGTTGCTTGTAATCTCCACCAGGTCCTCCTGGCTTGCCTCGGTCACTTGTTCAGAGAAATAGGACGCCGCGTCCCAGGGGAGCGTAACGGTAGGCAACTTGGCCTTACCACCGGCCGGCGCGTCGTCTGCTGGCGCGACGACATTTTCTTCGAGATCGGCTTCGTCGACGAAGCCTTCTTTTTCGTCCGAGTCTTTGACGGTTCTGCGGATGGCTTTCCAGGTGAGGAAGATGCGGAGGCGTTCGACGCGGGCTTTGTCGTGGCGGACCTGGAAGATCAGGTCGTTGTTGGAGAAGACGCGCGAGCCGCGGCGGGCGGCGAGGTCGTTGGCTATTCTGAGCTAGATCCTGGTGTTCAGTAGGTGATAATTTTGTGGGAAGAGAGATCCGAGGGGGAGAGGCGCGGATGAAATACCATGTGAACGACTTGATCTCGGATGATTTCCTCAATAAGTTTGGTAGTTTGGATGGAGACCTCTTGTGTCTCTCCTGCAATGTACATCATCTGGTCGATATTGTGTCAATAGTCAGAGATGGCTTTGCTTTGGCACGAGGTATCATGATATGAAAGCAGAGTCGTAAAACGGAGAGGAACAAGGTGGCTTATTGGAACACACTGATGCCAACTCAAGTTGTTTGCATAGATGTGGCAGAGCATGTCTGGGCATCACCATGATTTGAAAAGACTCACCTGTTGAATCTCCTGTTTGAACTTGGGCTCCATGGCTATGACAGGGGCCGGGAATCCTGAACGAAGACGAGGGAACTTGGGTGGGGGTATAGGAAGAGAATGGCTAGGAATGAAGGAGCCGGGACGGTAACAAATAAAGAGAACTAGAAAACGCAACGAGAAAACTCCAGCTTCTATCTCCAGAGCTTTGAGGACTTGAAACTGAATACATGGCGAAGGTGCAGGTGGAAGAATTCATGTTGGCTATTTTATACAGGCGTATAAGACGCTATGAGTGCGAGATGTGAATTTTGACACTGTGCTTTTACACGCCGCCGGGCAGCTGGTGGTGATGCGGGAGTTGGAGAGAGAAATTGGGGACGAAAAGGCGCGGGGATAGCTTTACTTCGATCAAAAATGTCGGTTGAAGGCCGGGCTGATGACACCAAGTCCCCTTACCCATGAAGTATGATATGTGACTGGACCACTCCAACGACTCGTATCCACACGGTCGTGCTGACACAGTGCTCCTTCGGCTTGTAAGTGAGGAGGCTCCTTCCAAGATGCTTGAGGACTGGTCTAAGACGAGGTCCAGTACACATTCATGAACTCCAAGGCTTCTTTTCCGATGTGCTTAGTTACTCTGAACCATTTCAATTGAATGTTTCATATCTTCTCAGCATGGTTAGGGCTCAACTTTCTCAAAGGCCATAGGATGCTGGATGAGATCATAAGAAGCACCATCGCAACTATCCCATCAAGGTTTCGTAGCCCTTTTGCACCATGACATCCATCCAGTACACGTCCTGCTGCTTCTCATCCATACATGACCAAGTCTCTCTCACAAGGAGCGTCATTTGTCGTATAGGCTTCGCTGCCAAGATGCCCTCGAACGACGCGAGACGCGACAGGACCAGCCGTCTAGCGTGTAAAATATCGGTCATGGTTGGCCTTCCTCTCAACCTAGGACTAGTAGCAAAGCTTGACACAGACTTGTCTCCCAAAAAGTCCAACGAAGAAAATTCTCGAGTGATAGAAAGCTCGCTGCAGATGCTTACTAAGAGTAATGGCTGGATGGACCGAGATCGCGACGTGATTGGAATATCTTGAAGAAGGTCGAGTATGTGTAAAGCAAGACAGGTCAGCCATGTCCCGTGGAGAGCTTCTGGATTGCCCGAAAGGCTGGGTTCCGACTCTCCGATTATATCCAGCCAGGCCGACGGAGTGGCAGTCGCCGTGTCTTGTAAGAGTAGATCGGGAAAGTTGCGATAGAGTTGCAGCAGTCCCGTACATCTGTATGCCTCTGCAGCTTTCAACAGATGGTCGGTTGGTGTCATGTCATCTCCCGAGTCCATGACTGTAACCTCTGTTGGAAGTTCAATCTTGCAAAGCCGCGAGTGGAGCTGTTCCGCTGTCTGTATGGCGGCGACGGACTGCTCAATGTCGTGCCTGGATGAATGTTGGCGGCGACGGATCCGTTTTCTTTCTTTTCTGACGAGTGCCCCAACTTTACCTACAACCTCCAGCACCTCTACTCCAATACCTGTCTGCGGGTGTGGCATTCTGGTGTCATGTCGATTGGGAAATCGAGGCGGCTGGGGCTGAAGGGCGCCAGTGCATGCCGCCGAAGGCAACTCTTGGTCGGTGACGAAAGAAAGCAGCATCCTCCAGTAGACGAGAGAATTGTAAAAGAAGAATCGTTTCTGCTTATCCGCCATTACCAAGCTATCTTGTTGGGCTTCGAGGTGGATGAGTGTCTCAGCCAGTAATTCGAACTCGGACTGGCCGAGTTTAGACGGATCATGCCAGCAGAGGCTGAAGCCTAGCATGACTAGTGCCAACAGTGATGATGTATCCGTTGGACCTGCTCTACTTTCTTTCCATAAGGCATTCGCCGCCTGGTCCCGAAGTCGGCCGCTGGCTGCGGAAAGGCCTGGCGAGACTTCGGCTAAGCAGGCTGCTGCCATGCTTTGGGTAAGGTAGTAGAGAGATGGCGAGTTACTCCAGAGATTGGAAATGGTTGTTCTGTATGGGTTCAACTTGCTGTCGTAGCAAGACATCATCCCGCACACTTCTTTGAAATAGTACTCCACCAGCACCGATGTATTGTCTTGTAATGAGGGTGATAGTGGAGTTTCATTGCGAGCCATGCTGGATGGATCGGAGCTGACGCGCCGTTCTATCACATCGAGACCAAGCGTAGCGACTTGAGGACCAGGCATGATACCCTGCCATAGTTCATTGGCCTCGGTTTCGATTGATGGAAGAGGAAATGTCACCCCTGCGGATGAGGAAGGAGTTGGAGATAGAGCCGGTAGATCTGAGAAGGGAAACGTAGGCTCCAGATGGGTAACATCTTGAAAATCTATACTTGAAGGGGTATCGATATTTGCAAACTGATTTAGGAAATCCGTATCACAAACATCCCTGCAAGATGGATTAGGGGACTGCTGATTTCGAACCGGGTCCCTAGCCCTTTGCTGGCGGTTTTGTGATCCGCTAGATATCGGGGTTGTGATTTCGACCCTAGGTGATCTAGAGGCAGGCGACCATCTGAGAGGCTTTTGATATCCGGGACAGGATATCCCGAGTCTTTTACATCTCGAACAATGTGGCTTGACTTCGTCGCATTTCAACTGGTGTGGAGCGTGTTAGGAGTTAACATAACGAATGGTACACAATGTTGGTCTCTTACCCGTTTTGACTTGCATACTGCGCACCCATTTCGGGATCTGGTGATGGTCTTCGATGACTGCATCGGGTTGTTGGACAAGGAATAACACGTCACATTCAAATGAGATCCAAATGAGAACGAGACGATAGTTCAATGTGGTGAGGCAACCCCAGAATCCTTCAAACTTGCAATTCTTGAGCAGCAAGCTTTCCATGTGCCTGAGAAGCGATGTCTCAGTGGGTGAAATGACTCGCGTCCGGATGCGGGGAGCGTATCGGCAGCGGAGTGCTCGGAGGTAGCATGACCCCAGCGAAGATGAACGCATGCCCCCATCCACTAAACCAAATCAGGTCCCTCGAGGCGAAGGAAAATGATGCTGTAATGGGTAATCGTCGGTGAGGAGACTTCGGAGCCAGTCTTTTCTCTTAGATATTCAAAGTTTGTTTGATAAGACTTAACGGAATCACTAAGCTGCGCTGAAGCTCTATCAAATCCCCGTGCTATCATTTCTGATCCTACTACTCCGTACCTAGCTCTCCAACATGGCGGCCGTCTTGGGGAATCAGTCATTCAAAGTCGCATTGGTACAAACAAGCCCAAAGGTGAGCCCACTATCGACGTCACTTTAGCACGAACCATCACCAACCCTCATCTTTGCAGGTTCTGGATGCCGAGCACAACTTTGCTCATGCTTCCAAACAAATTCGCCTGGCTGCAACTCAAGGAGCATCACTGGCGGTTCTCCCAGAATATCATATGACAGGATGGGTACCAGATGAACCCTCATTCGCGCTAAGCTATGAGGAAGCTCAAAATTTCCAACGGCGATACCAGCAACTCGCAGCCGAAGTGCACATCAACATCTGCGCCGGCACAATCGTCTACCGAGCACCAGACGAAGATCCCAACTCCAAGCCAACTCTTCTCAATACATCTTACTTCATCGACCATGATGGACAACTCTTAGGCGCTTATACCAAGACCAACCTCTGGATCCCCGAACGCGATCATCTGACTTCAAGCATCGACTACGCGCACAAGATGCAAGTCGACGAGGGTACGCCAAAGCCTCATCAAGTCTTCGATACTCCCTTGGGTCCCGTCGGCATTCTAGTCTGCTGGGATTTGGCCTTCCCGGAAGCATTCCGACAGCTTGTCTTGGCCGGTGCAAAGATCATCATCATGCCCTCGTACTGGACTCTATCGGACATGAGCAAGGAAGGTTTGGAGTATAACGCGTCTTGCGAGAAGATGTTTGTGGAGTCCACGCTTACCACGAGGGCTTTTGAGAATACTGCTGCCATCATCTACTGCAATGCGGGAGGACCTTCGGAGCAGGGCTATTTTGGTTGCAGCCAAGTTGCATTGCCCATCGTCGGCAAGGTTCCTGGGAGCTTCACGGATGGTGAGGACGGGATGCGGGTGGTGGATGTGGATATGCGAGTTGTCGAGATTGCTGAGCGGAACTATCAGATTCGACAGGATTTGGGGCGCATCGATTGGCATTATGGCTATGCGAAAGGGGCCAAGTTGTAAACTCAGAAAGAGAAGAATACCTATCGATGTCTAATGTCACGATAATACCACCCAGATGAGATGCAATGAGTGTTTAGATCTAGGCTCGCTTTTGCCCCTGTTTGTTTGTTTTTTGCTTACCCGCTGCTAATGACACTTCAAACAGCCTACAAGACATTCCAATAGGGTCAGTTCTTTCAGCATAAGGAAGGTACGAGTCAGGAGACGAGAGACAAAACATATCGTGGCGGTTTGAGTTTCCAAAGGAGCACATCAAACCGTGTTCCTCCCGGGCTATTGCACTGGTTTCGGACGACTGGAGAGCTCTCTGAACACAAGAGCATCGGATTCATCGTATAATTTAATCCGTTCAGATTAGAGGCTATTTACAAAATCACAGCTTGTCATGTGGTAGGGCGGCTATCCCTTTTGCAGATTCCTGATCTTCGATAGGATTCGCAGTCGGTAACTCCTCCCCAAGGATCAGCTCAAACTTGGGACCGTTGTAGGTCTTCCTCTTGATAAACCAGAGTGCAACCGCGTAAACAATGAAAACTCCAATGACAGCTGTCACGTAGTCTGGGTGTGTTAGATACGTAAATAACCCGCTGGTAGATGGGGACTTACTCATAGTGGAAATATCGATCGGAATTGCTGGTGGAAAACAGAAGAACTACGAGATACGTGAGCGTTTCTTCTCCATTACCCCACACATCTTTACTCACGATAGATGTGACGATGACGAAAAGCACCGACGTCCAGTTCGTGAGGTAGCCCATGAAGCCTCCGCCCAGGGAGAATACTGGCGGATTATCCGTCACGAGTTTCCGGCCCCTGATTAGCAGAATCATGACTGGCATCGCATAAGAAAGATTCAAGAACACGGTGCAGCTTGCGATGTAGGCATTAAATGCAACCTCAGGGCCTATGAAAAGTTAGTTTCTGCATCTCATGTTTATTGACGGGCAGACGAACCAAGATAGAGAAGACCAAACAGAATGTTGAAAATGGCCTGCACGACTATTGCACGTACAGGGACGTTCAGCTTAGGGTGGAGGCGCGAGAGACTTCAAAAGACCAGGTAAGTAAGATGGGCTAAAATGGTGATAGCTTCAGGCTGTACGTACTACTTCGAGAATGGAGTTCCGTTATCTCGAGCCATAGACCAGACCAAGCGACTGCCCGACGTCACGCAGCCGTTCGCGCCATTAACGAAACAGAGGGCGACTGCGACGCTTAGAACAGTGGCAGCTGCTCTGCTCTTCGTTGCTTGCAAAATCATCTCCGTCAGAGGACTCTGCGTAGGCGAGGAAAGCAAGACGTCAATGTCGACGGCGCAGAAGAGCATAACGAGGATGAAAGCAATTCCCCTGCGTGTATTGTCACGTTAAATGTACTATTTGATGCGATGGAGTTCTACTTACGTCGTACCACCGACGATCACGGCACCGACCATGGCTTGAGGGGCATCTGTGGATGGTCTAGGCATCTCCTCGACCATGTGCGCCACAGCATCAAAACTATCACTGTGTCAGTCATATAACGGTAGGTCTATTTCTGGTGAGATGAACCCAATCAAGCTGAGGGCAGACTGAAGAAGTCCAAGCATCCATGCCGTCCCATCGCTCCAGCCGGTAGTATTGGAAAAATTTGTGAAGACGAATTCAGCGTCTGTCTTGGGAGAGGTTGCGAGTAGCACGATGCTGATCACGACGACGCTGAGCAAGGACCAATACACTTGAGAGGATTAGCAAGCCAATCGGTCAACTTTTGTCCTTTAGAGTACTTACATGCTCCTTCATTCCATCGATTGAGGATTGGGTATGCAAAGATATTCAAGAATACTCCAATGATGGACACAGCGACGAACATCAAGTACGTGCTCCATTGTGTGATCTCGTAGGAGCCGCCAGAAGCTGCGACGGCGGCTGCAGCGAGGAATCGGGCTTCATCCAGAATTAGTGAAGGTCAAGTCGTTGATGTAGGTCAATTCTCACCTCCAAAATACGCAGCGGTAGTGTTGAGCGTGAGCCAGCCAGCGATGTTGACCCATCCAACAAAGAAACTCTGGAGCTCATTAGCACTTGATTTCCAGTCAGGCTGTGAGACGTGGGGTTTACCGTCATCTTCCTCCACTTCTTCGTCGAAAGTGCATAGGCATAGTGATATTGCCCTCCAGCCGTCGGATAGAGCGACGCAAGCTCTCCAACACTTGCACTCAATGCGATGTTGCAGATAACACAGAAGATGAAGCCGTACACAAAGGACACTGATCCACCTGAGGGCATCACTAGACCAATGGACCCAGCGAGAGAGATCCAAGTGCTTTTGAAAATCAGTATTCAGATCTGGGTACGTAACTGCAATTCAAAAACTAACTTGAGAATAGCGAAAGCCATGCCAATCATGGTGATTTTAGAAAATCGCTTCTGCAGGTGGCCATCGTGGCCATCCGCTGATGATGTGGCCATGTCTTCGAGTGGTATGTGACAGCGGAGCTTCAATGGTGTGAATTGGAGGTAACCACCCGGATGTTCTTGACAGAATGCGAACCTCTCATGTCCTCTTATGGTCCTTGAAGGCTGTTTCACTTGTACATCGCAGTGTCGCACCGATGATAACAAGGCAGATGATAAGGAGAGATGCCTTTACGCTTAATAACATGCCAACAAACAGCAACGGGGTTATCCTCTCGGGTAGCTGCGAAGCTGCGAGTAATGACGGTGGTCTATCAACACGCTATCCCCAAAGTGGTAGTCTTAAGCAAAGGAAAAGACGAACCCCATGGCCGGCTGTGGATCGGAGACGCTGCTGTGGAGGTCTATCAGCCGACCACCCCGCATGCGATGATAACGGCCCCGAGCTGCGTCAATGCCGGCACCCATTTCCGCTGCGAACTGTGTACTTGGCTATCGAGGAATGTCATTGTTCCCGGAGAATATTTTCCCTTGATGGGTGCATTTCAGTTGATGAAGCTTCAATATAACCCCTAGAGGTAAAATACACCATCAATTGGGTAGAGCCGCTGCTCCCCGTTACTACCTTATGTTGCTCTGCTGTCCAGGCTCTAAAAGCAAGTGCTTAGAGCAACACATGGTTCACTGTCCTCGATCGTACGGCGCGGATAACGGCCACTATTCAATCCAGCCACATAGATTCAATTTGATTCATTGCTTCATTTTGTCCAAGGTTATGTTTGAGTTAAAGTATTTTCGTGTACACCTTGTTGCATTCAATCTCCTGAACCCACAAGTTCCATGGTCGCATTAATGACCACTGTGTCGTCTTGTCAGAAGCCATACATTCATCTTGGCTCAGGCTCTTCACGCCGCCCGTGACCCCAGTAACGCCTTGAAGCATTAAAGCAGTAGTTTGGATGCTTGCATTCTTCTGCGTATACACTGCTCGCATCACGGCGAGCTCGATGCTACTGGCAACGACTGTGAAACCATGCCCGCGCATCAACGTCACGTTATTGCCATCGTCGAAGTGCTTCGCCAAGTGGGCACCCATATTCTCACTGCGTACAAGTAGGTCATCAACGTCGCTGTTCTCCATGTGGTCTGCGGTATCAAATACCGGTAAACCATTGGCGCCCAGAAACCCGCACATGTGGCTGACGGCCCTCAGCGGAACACCCGATATCGTGTATGGGACCACGGCCTCGGAGTGGCTGTGGACCACCGCGTTAACCTGTGGGTGCCGCTTGTAAACCTCCGAGTGGATTCGCCGCTCCGCAAAGCCCGGAGGCGACTCCGCTTCGAGGGGCTCGGCATCACCAACCCTATAGGCGACAAGATCTCTGATCTCTGACACCTGAGCTGGGGCAACGTTTCGAGACATTACAAAGATGTCAGGGTCTAGAGGGTAGCGGAAAGACAGGTGACCGTAGGCATCAACCACTTGATGGAAGTGGAGAATGTGAGAGCCATCGATGAGTTTGCTGAAAAGCTTCCGAAGGTCGTCGGTGTGAGGCAGAGCAGCCATTGCAACGGGATGTATTTCTTTCCGGGCAATGGCGCAGGAATGTAAAAGGTTTCAAAGCGATATTTGATTTCCCGAAGACGGCTGGATTTGAGAAAGGCTAAGAGTGTCGCGAGTGCCGAGTGCTCATACAGAAGCAGCTGATCGACGGGCCGATAATCGGATTTCAGAAATCTGGCGGGGTACGAGCACCAACTCGATGCGGGGTCGTCGAGGGGGTAGTTTGAGAGTCTGAATGTCTGGCATTTGGCGACCTTTTCGTACATGCACGTAGGATCTTCATGTTAAAAATTGGTTTTGTGTTTGAGTATACCGCGCCGAGTTCGAGGTAGCAGTAGATTTCCTGATAAAACCGATCTTCTCTCGCAGCAACTTTAGTCTTGGAAGGAATCCATTGGTCCTTTCGGAACGAGACCTAGTTCAACCAGAAGCCTCTCTAAACCCTCTGTCCTGAATGGTTTCTGTATCAATGCGTCGAAACCAAGACTGCGAGTTCTATCCATATCTAGCCCCATTGATATGCCAGCAGCCATAACTACAATATAACACGGCTTCAGGCCATTCTCGATTTCGAATGCGCGAATGAGTCTTGTGGCATGCAGACCATCAATGACGGGCATCGAAGGCTGCATCAAGATGCATTGATAGGTCTGGTAGCCTTTCTTGTATGCCTCGAATGCCTCCTGGCCATTACATGCGAAGTCGTACACGCAATTGTGCCCTAATCCGTCCATTTGCCTGGCGATGAACTTTCTCACAACTTGATTGTGTTCGGCTACAAGGATGTTGATTGACGTCGTGTGTGTTGCTGTAATGGGAACGCTAAGTGCCTGAGCTGGGCTTGATAGACCTGATTGCTCTGTGCTCAGCTCTTCCAGTGGACGTGTTCCATTCTCCGACAGGGATTCTGCGCACGAGAATACCATGTCGGCAAAGCATTCATCTACTCTCTTCAGTGGTAAACGAAGGAACGATGGCGGTCGGGTTCGGAAGTGCTGTAGTCGATGACTATAAAGCATTCAAAAATACATTGAAGAAGAAAGATGACGCTGCACATTTTTTTCTTCTCAAACACTAGATTACCTATGTGCTGTGAGGCTTGCTGCCTGCTTGGCTTCTGACTTCTCGCTTACTCAAGGCGCAGCATTTCTAGTCTGCTTATGTGGATGCGGCCACGTTCTCAAGAGCTCTCGCACTGAGGTTTGGCACTAAGATGTAGGATTTGGGGAAAGGGAACATCTATAATACGACGTGTGTCACATATCTTTTTCGCGGTAATTAGATCCATCAACTTGCTACTTTACGTTGTTCTTTAGGCCCTGCGTTGACTTGGCGCCACCGATTCCCACGCAGCACTCCATGTGGGATGTGGTTCCTACGTATAAATCACAACTATCGTGATAGATATCCAAAATATAGCTATGGAAACCGTATGCTCACCGGTCCGTATTGCCGGGCAATGTCAAGACAGGGCCATCATCTTGGACGAGGCGCGCCCGACGCCGACGCCGACGCCGTCAGGGGTACCGTGCAATTATGGGGCCGGTTTACGGGATCGGGTTGAAAATCGTGACAAGAGCCCCGAACGAGTTCTGGTACTCTGTCACCGAGAGGAGGGGACCAGGTTACTTAGCGGCTTCGAACTCAAGTTATTCCTCACGGACTCTTCGGGGTTCGGCTGTTCCGTCTTGCCTCGTTCTCGCAACGTTCCAGAAGCTCTATCCCTGAAGCTCAGACTCGAATCGAGACGCAACTCCCAATGAGACCGCCGTAAACGCGAGGCATGTCCAAACTCTGTTCTACTTACCTTGCCATCTCGCAAGGCAGGGTGCCGGGCCTCTTCGCCTCTTCTGCAGAGTACTCCCTCTCAGTTGAGAAGATTGCCCATGGCTGGGCGCCTCGAATAAATGAACTCTGCTAGAAACAAACCCCGCGGAGCCACTTCCCCGCGTCCCTCTTCTCCAACATTGGGTTTCCGCTAGGGAATGTCTGGTGCTAGTTCAATGACGCCGAGTTCTGGGGTAACGCACTCGGTGGGACTGCGTGACACCCCTAGATCCATTTTCGCTTCGCCTCGCATGAGAAAGCATCTGCCGGCTGTTCGTTTCGGGATTTGGTGGGACAAGGGAGAGAGTCGAGACTGGGGGGAGCTTGGAGCTCGGGTGCTCGGTCAAGCAGCAACAGTGAAGCACGGCAGATCGGTAAAAACCCCAAACGCAACAACCCCAAAACTGGTTCTCCAAGGGCGCCTTTTGTGTTTTCCTATGAAGCCCGACTCCGTGACCTCGGTAAGCTGGCCACCACCTTGGTATTTGGGTTCTCCGACGCTCCCCAAGGATCCAACACCATATCTCGAGCTTGAAGACAGCAAGGAATCATTATCACAACTCCAATCTATTGAAGACTGAGAATACACAACTTTTTTTTAACGAACACATCGTCCTTTGGTCGCAAATACCTAGCCACGTCTCAGTAATCGGGTATTGGTTTCGCTGTGTCCAGCTGCAGCCACTGGAGCCTGAGCGAGTACAGGACAGGCGATTCGGGTAGTTTCCAAACCCAAGGCGAAAGAAATAGCAAGAATGGCACTCGGTAAGAAGACCTTATTCGAGATCCTTGCCCAAGCGATCAGATCCAGATCAATTGGCGGGCATTGGCTACCACAAATGCCATGAATGCGCACTCACCCGATAGCAGTTACGGCCGCCGCGCTGGCTGGCAGCATGGTCTCCAGCATGTACGTAGATGCCAAGTACCACATCTCCAAGGATGTCAAGGCCCTCCGAGGTCGACGGACAGTGACCAAATTTGTCGAAAACTCGAGTAAGGACTGCCGCAGCCTACTTGACGCTCGTGAGATTAACCCAGGATACAGTCAAGAGCAGCCGTGTTTCTCCCTATTATTTCTTCGAAGAAGCGGTCCAAAAGGATCCCTACGGTGAAGCCATCTGGACACGAAGCGGGAGCGTGTCGTGGAAGACGACCTATGACAGGGCGAACCAGTATGCACAGATGTTCTTGTCGCAAGGTGTTCGGCCGGGGGACTTCGTTGCGATTCTCATGCAAAACTCGCCCGACTTTGCATTCGCCTGGGTTGGACTGCTTGCAATTGGTGCGGCGCCCGCCATGATTAACTACAATCTCGTCGGCAAAGCTCTCCTCGGCTGCATCGAGATCAGCACCGCCAAACTCGTAGTCGTCGACGGAAGCCCTGATATCGCGGCCAAGTACAACGACGTTCAGACCGAGTTGGATCTCAAGGGCATCAGAGTCGTCAACATCGGAGAAGAGAGGGAAAGGATATATCAGATGGATCCCATCCGTCCGCGAGACGAGCTTCGGAAGAATCTGACGCCTGCCGATGCAATGGCCATGTTCTATACGAGGTAAGCTCATTGGTGTCGGGGTCTGGCTTCGATATCTGACAATCGCAGTGGAACTACCGGGCTACCCAAGGCCGTAATCATGCCTGCCGCTGCCGCTGGGAGCCTCGCATTATCGGTGAGCATTTGATGCGCACTCTGTCTTCCTCCGGCTTGCTGACCTGCTTAGAACGACATTGGCTTGCATCCGACAAAGAGCGGGAAGGAAAGATGCTACATTTGCATGGTAAGTGAATACGCCTATATTGTGATGAGTGAAGTTTCTAAAAGGATTGATACAGCCGTATTATCACGGGACTGGCGGTATTACTATGATATCCCAGATCTTGGTAAGAACCTCCCGCCCTCTTCAAGTGAATTCTAGCTTATACTTGCAGTCTGGCTCTACAGTCTGCATGGCACCCAAATTCAGTGTCTCAAACTTCTGGGAAGATGTTCGTGACTCCCACGCCACTTGGTTCGTCTACGTTGGCGAGACTCTCCGATACCTCTTAGCCTCGCCTCCCTCGCCGCGCGACAAAGACCACAACATCCACGCTGTTTTCGGCAACGGCTGCCGACCCGACGTATGGAAACGCTTCCAAGAGAGGTTCGGCATCGACACGGTGTGCGAGTTCTATAACAGCACCGAGGGCGCTTTGGGCCTTCGCAACCTCTCTCGAGGAGACTTCTTCGCGAATGCTCTTGGTCACCACGGACTTCTGCTCCGACTCAAGTACAGAAACATGGTGGTACCTGTTGAGATCGATGCGGAAACGGGAAATATCCAGCGAGATCCAAAAACTGGCCTAGCCCTGCGCGCTTCGTATGAAGTCGGTGGCGAGATCTTGGTCGAGCACCCTGGAGAACGAGCGTTTCCGGGCTACTTCAACAACGAGGACGCCACCAACAAGAAGTTCGTCCGCGACATTCTGAAGAAGGGTGATTGCTTCTACCGGACTGGCGACTCTTTGCGGCGCGATAGTGAAGGCAGATGGTTTTTCCTTGATCGGTAAGTGTCAGAAATATCTCATTCGGGCTGCATCTGCTCACCCACATACCCAGTTTAGGTGATACGTACCGTTGGAAAGGCGAGAACGTCTCGACTGCGGAAGTCTCAGAAGTCCTTGGTAGCTACCCAGGTGTCAACGAGGCAGTCGTCTACGGTGTCCAGCTTCCCGGACATGATGGTAAGGCTGGTGCGGCAGCCCTAGACATTGCTGCGGACCAGAAGGGGTCTTTCAACTATGCCGACTTCCTGAGGTGAGTAGACTCGACCTCAAGAGCTTGTATGCGTCAAAACTGATGGTCAACAGTTTCGCCCGATCAAAGCTCCCAAGATATGCCGTGCCGGTTTTCATCCGGCTCCTGAACGAGGGCACAGCAACGCACAACAATAAGCAGAACAAAGTGCCGCTGAAGAATGAGGGCGTGGATCCAAGTAAGATCCAAGGCGGCGATCAATTGTTGTGGATTGAGAAGCACGGGAAAGGAAGCACATATGTCCCATTCACTCAAGATGACTGGAACAACCTCGGTATGGGAAAGGCTAAGCTGTAATTGTTCTAGAGAGACACGTAGATGAAAGGTATGACGAGGAGTCACATGAGCTACAGATTTCCATTGAAAGGCCGGCCATGTTACCTTGCTAGAGATGCCTGTAGGTCTCGGGAGCCTTACTGAAAGCGACTACTTCATGCGACGGGCCCTGCTACCACAAGGTCTTGATACGAATACTATACATCAAGAGCTGGACTCCACGCTCCGGACCGCTCGACCTGCATTCCCGCTCCGGTGCGGGAGATGGCCTGTCGCTCATCAATTACTTATCCAATGAGAAGTATGTGATGTGAAATAGTTTGATTCAAGCTTTGCGACGGCGTCTTCCAGGATGTGACGAACCCCGCACGACGCAATTACGCAGCAAGGCCTTATTGCGCGGGGGAATACCCCTGCTCGGTTCACATGGAGATCAGCAACGAAATGGGGTGGCAGGGACCGAGGCCGGCAAAAGACAAACAAGATGAGGTGAACCATGGGAACTGCTTGATTTGGGTGTCGCGTCCAGGGTCTCCAGTTGATATGAACGGCGAATTCCTTGCGGAAGCTGTTCATTCGGTCCACTATTCTTTCGACTTTGAGGTCCATGGTCCATCGTCAACATGGCCGGCATCAAGAGAACACGCATCATATTTGCGCTGGTCATCACCGTCGTCCTGATCTTGCTGTTCAAAAAGGGCGACTCGAATCCTCAAACACCCCAATGGACACCCAACTCACCACCAGGCGGCTCGCTCATCAACGTCGACATCCCTCCAGATCGCGTCGAGGTGCCCATCATCGACAATAACCTGCAGTTCCAGCCGCCGCCAGTTCAGGCGCATGTGCTTCTCGACGCGCATAAACTCCCGACAGCTGACGACTTCATCCCTCACTTCGCTGCCGTCACCAACATCAAGGGCATCGCCCAGCAAGAGGCTCGCGCATCATGTACCTGGCCAGCGGACATGTACGTCGATTTTCAATTCTCCGACTCTCTGCCATGGGTTATTGAGGACCGACCGGTGCTTGAGATCGAGCTGCGCAGACGCGAATGGCAGGACTTTGTTAAGAGCGGCATGATCCCATACGCACGCGCCAAGGATCGCTTCTCCGGAAGAGGATTGGTCATAGTCGCGGGCAACGCCGACACGGTAATGCGCGTCAAGGTGATCTTGCGTCAGCTGAAGAGGCTCCGGTCGACAATTGCAGTTGAGATTCACTATTGGGACACCGAGATGGACATGGGCGTCATGGCGGATCTCAATGCTCTCTATGAGCCGATATACTACAATGATCTCTCCAAAGAGCACAACATTGTGCATATCAAGAAGGATGGGATCTTCGGGATCAACTACCAGCTGAAGACTGCCGCACTGCTCAATTCGCGTTGGGCTGAGCCTCTGCTGCTCGACTCCGACAACATTCCCATGATCGACCCATCGATTCTCTACGACTCGATGCAGTACACAGAATACCACTCCGTATTCTGGCCCGATATTGCTCGCACGCGGCCTCAGAATCCCGCTTGGGCCATCTTCAACACGCCATGCAAAATGGCCGAGCACGAGCAGGAGAGCGGGCAGCTTCTGGTAGACAAACAGCGTTTCTGGTACCACCTCCAGCTTGCATCGTGGCTCAACAATGAGCAGGGGAAATACTACAATGAGATGTTGCTGGGCGACAAAGACATGTTCCGTTTCGCGTGGCACGCTCTACGGACAACGTTTGGAAAGCCCAAAAAATGGGTCACGAGCGTCGGAACGGAGAATGATGGCTTCTACTGCGGACACTCGTTCGCGCAGCACCACCCCGACGATGGCCGTATCGCCTTTCTTCATGGAGGACTCGTCAAGACTGCTCCTCTCGAAGTCATGAGGTGGAACCGGGACGTCAAGGGCGGATATCTTCGGCATTACAAGAGAGCGCCGAGCGAAGAGAGTCCCGAGGTGAACGTCAACGTCGCCATCAAGTGGGACGGCGCTACTTACATGCCTCAGCATTCTCAGAAGTTCGTTGCGGCCCAGTGCACCGACATGTTTGATGTCCAGGCAAGAGACTTAAATGAGATACTGCCTGGGGTCGAGCAGACGTTTCGCGAAATCGGTGGATACTGGCAGCTGGATCAGGAAGATGCGACGAAGCTGGGCCAGTCTGGGTCTTTACCTGCCAGCTGAAGTCCGAGGCATTCCGGCTTGCCAAACAGAACAAACAGAATCACGAGGAGCCACGCTTGTTTGGTCCCCCTGACGATCCTCGACGGGCCGATGGCTTCCTACCTAGCGCCAGGCGCCAGTGAGAGGAGGGGGGGCCAAAGACACCGAACAGAGGCCAAAGAAGGTTTAGTGCCGTTCCTGCTGTCTTCTCGCGTTCAGAAACGTTCTTCTAACAGGAACAAACAAAAACCAACACGAGGAAGCAGGATGCCACTCGGTCAGCTCGCTCAGACCGAGGTTCGAAGTAGGGCTTGAAGGCTTCGAGCTTATTTTATCAGCTTGTGTCTGACCAGTCAAAGCCGGACCGATGTCAGCAGCCCTCCTCGGACGAGGCGTGTCGGTGTCACACGGGAACGAGGGCATCTTGATTGTCAGAAAAGCTTGGCATGACAAGTCAAAAGAAGAGGCATTCACAAGGCTGAAATGAAGAAAGAAGAGGGTGTTGAGCGATTCGATCATCTTCATAGGATACCATGTTGTTGCCATCAGAACCTGATGACATTGGGGGTGTTTGCGCGTCTAATCTAGTATCGAGCAGTAACTTGCACTCCCACTTCACGTCGACGAGTGTTCGAATCGTACGCACACGACACGCGAGCAGTCTAGCAGGGAGGAAATGTAACGGAAATCCCTGTACTAAAAGATCCTCCCCTATTACGAGTTAGAAATAGCATCTCAATTATTGGACGGTCCAGTTGGTTGGCACGCCATCCGAGCGTTGAAAGTTTCTGAGACAGCATCGGACGACAAGAAACGTCCATCCACACGCAGGAAAACAAGCTCAACGGCGGTCGTATCCAGAATGTTAGGGTCTTCTGGGTCATCCCACCTGATGTTTCAGGGGAACTTAGCCGCCAAGCCGTGCTGTCGTGCGCTAGAAGCAACATTGGATTAGCGTCGGGGTTGTGCAGCATACGGGATGCAACGCTAAAGCAACTCTCTCCTTTGTGGGATTGCGACTCGCGTTATTACCCCTGAATAAGAGTGCCTCTGCTGAGTCTGTTCCAACTTGGTCAGAGTCAGTTACTGGAAGGGGAACAGTGGTCTCGCCCGTAGATCGGATCTGGAATAGCACAGATACCAAGATGGGAGCTAAGTAATGTTGTGCGTCTGAACTTACATCCTGGTTCTGGCACACATGCATCTTTCAGGGTCGGATGATGGGTGCATCGATACGAGGCACGACGAGACTGACATTCACAGACGTGGTGTCAGTGAGGAGTTGATGTCAGTAAGTACGCAACCAAGTTGAACAGCACTTATCGACTGAACGTTTACGATGCCTGCAGTAAACCTCGTCAGTATTGCTCATGCCCCCCGAGTGTAGAGCAGGGGACACAGTATCTAATGTGCCTTACTCAGTGGTATCTCGACGTGGTATTAATCGGCACACAGACCTCTTTGTTTCCTCCTGGTCAACGCCTCGCTCACCGCTGTAGCAACCACCGTCTTCCCCCGGTCTGGTTGTCCAATAACAGACGACATGATTCCTCGTTCGACTCTTCAAGGCTTCGTGGAGGCGGAGCAAAAGTACACATGGTGGCGCTCGGACTGGATCAACTCCCCTTCGGTTGACTCGGCCCAATACGAGACTATGCGCGACTGACAGCAGATGAGAAGGAGGAAAAGCAAGCCTTTGCTACAACGTCGACGGCGTCGAGACGCCCTAGAACTAGTCAACACGGTTGGAGACTACTCATCTCCACAGTCAGCATTCAAGCTGTACGATGGCTTCCTTTGCCAAGAATAGATTCGCTGAAGTGCGAGCACGGCCTCCCGGGCTTAGGAGCTATCGATGAGGATATAATGAACCCATGATGCCCAGTCTCTAGCACTTGGCTCATCAGGATACGCCTCATCATCTCCTTCGTCTCTAACATATCTTCTTGATTCGGTAGAATCATCCTTTCGTTCTGCGACTTGAGCATACATACAATCTATACCACTCTCTATCAGCTTCTATTCTTCTTCCAGGTACACAACTATTTCAAGCTCACCATGCGTGTGTCAACTTTCCTTACTACCGCCCTCGCGGCTACTCCCATCATCGCCTACCCCGGCATGAAGAACACATTCGCCGAGATCCGCTCTCGCGCCGATAAAGACGGTAACGGCGCTGACGACGGAGACTCTAACGAGCTCATTGGCGATCTCATCACCCTCGACGACTCCAAGCTCACCGCCGTCGGAAGCAGCGTCAAGAAGCTCCTTACCGGTTTCGATAACCCCGAGAGTGACGACGCGTACCCAACTGTTGGAAGATCAGGCACTCTCGCACCAAAGGGTTCAGCGGCTTGCGCTGCCGACACCTGCTGCATCTGGAAGTACATTGCCAACGATCTTCAGGGTACCTTCAGAGGCAGATCTGGCCGTTGCACCGACTTCGCCCGCGCTGCCGTCCGTCTTGGCTTCCACGATGCCGGCGGTTGGTCAAAGGGAACCGGCAACCTCGGCGGAGCTGACGGCTCTATCATCCTCGCTTCAGAGGAAATAGCACGCGGGGAGAATCGTGGTCTCGAGGAGATTGTTGCCCAGACCCAGGTCTGGTTCGACCGCTATAAGCAGTTTGGAATCGGAATGGCCGATCTCATTCAGTTCTCCGCAACTGTAGCCACTGTTGTGTAAGTCATCCGGACCTTTGGTCATACAGTCTGAGCGTGAACTGATTTCGTGACAGCTGCCCCTTGGGTCCCCGCATTCGTACATACGTCGGCCGCAAGGACTCCTCCGTCCCTGCTCCCCTCAACCTTCTGCCTCCCGTCACCGGCTCTGCCGACTTCTTAATCGAGCTCTTTGAGAACAAGACTATCAAGCCCCACGGTCTCACCGCGCTCATCGGCGCTCACACGACCAGCCAGCAGCGCTTCGTGGACCCCAGCCGCGCCGGCGACCCGCAGGACAGCACCCCCGGTGTCTGGGACGTCAAGTTCTACAAGGAGACTCTCGGCTCCGCTCCCGCTCGTGTCTTCAAGTTTGCCAGCGACGTCGTTCTCGCCAAGGACTCCCGCATCAGCTCCGAGTTCCAGGCTTTCGCTGGCCAGGGCGGACAGTCCCACTGGAACCAGGACTACGCTCGCGAGTACATCCGTCTCTCTCTTCTTGGTGTCTTCAACATCAACGACTTGACTGAGTGCACCAAGGCCCTGCCTCCTCGTACCGGAAGCACCTTCACCGCTCCCGACCAGGCCGTTTTGGACAAGTGGCTCGCTACCAAGGACCGCCTTAACAACATCGCAGATCAACTCAGGAACGGTGGTGACATCAATGGCATGATTGCCTCGGTCATGAGCTGGTTGAAGGGAGTCTTCCACTTTAGGTGGTAAACCCCTTTTGGCTTCCGTCCTAATCTTCGAGTTATAGAGGCGTTCGGCTCTGTGTTTTGGTATATAAAAACCGCCGTATCCGGCAAGAGTAGATACAAACCATATAATGTCTATACCTAATTTCAACAACACTTGGTTCACTTGGCTGTGACAGTGCCAATGTGTGTCTTGATGCTCCTCATCATTTGATGCTCTGACTATAACTAAGCCAGTCGGAAAAAGAAAGAGGGACATCGGACACTTAAACCAATGGTCACATCCTTATCTATGACCAACAGAAGAGTGGGTTTCCAGCACCGTTCAACCTGAAGCGCGCTTTCGCCAAGCTAGCATTACAACCACGCATTACCCGTGTGTTGTGACTACTCTCAACGTGAGTGCCCTCATCACGGCCCGCCCTGACTCCACAACCGCACAACTCGTCTCCCACCACCCTTCTTGACTAAACCTACGGTACAAACCCAGCATCCAGAACATCGTACGATGCTTCAGGATCACTAGCCCTGGTGGTCTAGCGGTATGATTCTTCCTTAGGGCTTTAACAAGACTTCCGAGTCTTCTCAGCCGGATTGGAAGAGGTCCCAGGTTCGAATCCTGGCCAGGGCCTGATATTTTGCTCCTACAAGCTTCTTACATGTGCAAACGAGCTTTTTGGCTCTGAGTGATGTGTCACTGGAGGTGTCAAGTCCCCAAGGGCGTTTTGAAGCTGTATCTTGCAGAATCGCATCCATTTCGTCTCAGTAACTACTACTCGTGCCTCTAAAATGCTTCATAGTCTTGGCAATATGCTGACAAAAGTAAATCGCAAAACTCCGGGCTCCATATTCTCGTAAAAAGCAGAACTCATGTCTTTGGTGATGTCGCAATCACTTGGGTACGCAAACGCAATTAGCCGAATTGTTTCCAGTGCATGATGATCCGCCGCGTTTCTGTAGGACTTGTGATCAGACCAGAGACTTACTCACGACTCACTGAAAGTTGAGACGCCAATAATGCTTGGTGGTTGTTACTCACCATTCCTTGCTTGCCACACACGTCATTACAAATCGCAACAGAGTCGCAACCTTCTCCAGGCGTCTGAGGCAACGCATTTGCGAAGTAGGCCAAAGCCATCAATAGGGTAGCATACGGAATCGTCTTCATGTTGGTTGCAGAAGTCTTGTACGGAATTACAATGATGACTGCTATGTGAACGACGAGTTTGAGAGTCTCTTTTGAAGTAGAAAGTCTGATTGATGATTCTGAAGTTGCGTAATGCTGAACATTGTTTGCGTTGAGGGCAGCTATGTAATTAGGTATTTATTCAAGTGCCAGACTCGTGTACATGCAGACAAGTCGAAAGCGAATCCGGTACTCAGCTCAGTCAGGCTGACCATGTCATGTCTCGAAGGCGGTCGACTCATGTTATGCTGACGACAGGCCATCGATCGATTCGTGCCCCGGACTTTCTTGTGTCGTCTCAAAAAGTGAAACATGCTCGAAGTTCAACTCGTGTTGTAGAAAGCTTAAGATGCTCGGTGATCCGAACTGTCGGAAATTTACCAACCCAGGAACCAGAAACCTGGTCTTTCAATCTTCGCCCTAGGCTACCTAGATATACTGGGTTCGAGAATTACTTGATCACCGAGGCTCTTTATAGGGCTGTCTTTGTTTGAAAATGTCGCCGGTCACCCGCATTAGTTGGATTTCCGTGGATTGAGACTTTACCGCGTTCGCATCCAGGAAATGCCGATGGTGCACTTCTTGAATCGTGCATAGCATTGATTACGACTTGAATGTTGCGGATGAATTGATGAGTCTGCGAGCATCCGTGGGATTGGATGTCAACAAGCCCGAGCCTACAGGGACATCTTGCCCTCTTGAGACTTCCAAGTTCAGGTTCGAGGTTCCGATCGTTACCATAGCTAGGTATCATATGTGAACAACTTGAAGAGTTGGGAAAAGGGATGTTCGATGGATGGCATGCAAATTAAGGTGACAGCTTGTGTAGCAACAGGGAGTCGATGACACTGGCCCATTCATTGGAAGAGGCAATGTTTGAAGCCGTTAGCTACTCTAACAGGATTCACTTGTATGGAGCTTCAATTAATAAGATTTTCCGAAGCCTCAAGACTCTGACATTGCTGTGGACACCGGCCATATTCTGAGCTCAGTGAAATAGTCTCAAATGGAACAGAAGGCGCTTAGTGCTCATAGAAGAGTGAGCTTATGAGGATTTGGACAACTCCCGGCTGCCTGCATGTTTGGGATCCCGGTCACGATATAAGCTGCATTTGTTTCCTTTACCTAAGTGAGATGCTGTGCTACGGAAGTCCCATCTTAAACGCTCTGAAGACCGGCCACCAGGCTGACTTGAGCGGTTTCATTTAGGCATCGTCGCCTCACTTACACATGGGCCTGAGATCAAATTTCTCTTAGCCGTCTGCGGCATTGAGGTTTCGATTCAAATTCATCGTTGGAAGAACTTTGGTGTTTGCGGGTGATCTGAAAGTCTTGGCACCTTCTCCATTTGTAATCGCCCTCAACAACTAGAAGCGGCGTGGTCATGCCTAGACCCGAAGAAAAATCTCTCAACCCGCGGCCGCCTCGGAACGAACCTAGATGCAGCCTTGCAACGTCCCTGGCTCCGGCGAACCGAATAAGCGGCTCAGCAGCGAACCCCGGATTGTAGCCAGGGGTCACGACGAAAGTCCCAATATCTTCCGTTGGCAGCGTGACCACGTCTCATGTTGCAGAAATTTTAAAAGGTCTTCAATGCTGTCAAAAATCTTTGCTATGAGCTGAACAAAACGGAACTTGAGATGACGATACAGCGGTCGAGAAACCGAGACAATTTGCTTGGTGCCCAGCTTTGTCTCATTGAATCACTCGCAGAGCATCTTGTCGCTCGAAAACAAGCTCATATGCTTAAAAGGATTTAAGTTCTTTCGGATGGTTTTGGGAGGGTCGCCAGTTGCCACAAAGTGACAACCGAAGTCCGATAGTTTCAGGGGTAGTTAACTTTCCACCACTTACAAACGTTCAATCCCACAACCAAAAGAGAAGTCCGAGGAACTGGTTGCTTTGCTGAAGGGGGTAAAAGTTGACTGTTCGAACGATCAAAGCTGAACATCAAGAGCGTAGTCACCCGTGTGGACCCTCTCGATGTTGACTTGATCCGGTCGACAGAAGTTCCGGGTCCTGGATTGGTCCTCGTCGAAGGGCGTGGCATTTCCTATACTTCCAAGCGTAAGGATGGGAACAGAATAAGCCTCACTCTTTGATGCCATTACTAGTAGCCAAACCCAAGTTCCCACACACGATAAGTGGGGTGTATTGAGACGAACACGACTCCCCCAGCCGTCAGCTTTGCATACATACTCTCAATCAAGTGGGCCGTGAGGCAGGAAAGCTCCCGTTCAACACCAAAGTTCCATTCTTCGACGACTAATTATCGATTTCTCTGAGCTTCCACGTTGCAGATATCTATCACAGGGCCGATAACTGCGGGCTTTGTTCATAACCAGAGCGATATAAATAGTCGAGGCCATCTCGATCAAAGTAAGATCAATTCTCGAATCATCAAGCCTACCACAGCTCTCTTCCCCAATCCAGCTTCACTTACCGTTATTCGCTCTCAAAATTCATTATGAAGACCTCCGCTGTCATTCTTGCCCTCGTCGCAACGGCGACCTCTTCAGCCATCCCTAGCGAGGTGAGTGCCAGCAAGAAGCCGAATGTTTGAGGGATAATTGACATGACGTGTCTAGCCTCGCGATGTTGAAGTCAAATACGCACCTCTACCTTTCCCCATTGGCGAGGCCGGATGGGTTGGAGTCTTGGAAGAGGGCGGCCCTGTGGTTGAGGTCTGGGGATCCGACCTACTCGTAAGATGATTTCTTTTTCTTCGTGGTGCCGAACTTCCTCTTACTTACAACATCCTTAGGATATCGAAGCAAAGGTCCAGGAGCAGCATGGAACGTCCATCTTCAACGGTACCGTCGATGTGGATGGCACTCCCGCCACCCCTGAGGTTGCCGCGGCCTTCTACAACGAAGCCCAGAACGCCAAGCGATCCCTCGAGAAGAGGGTATGTATCACGTTCTACGTCATAAATCTTCACTTTCACTAGCAAGTACCTGACGAGATGATGCTCTAGGCCCCCAATTGTTTCGAGAAGTGGGGCAAGGTAGATGGCTTTCAGGTCAACACTGGCGTGAACAATCTTCGCGCCGTCAACGGAGGTTGCAAGGTCAGAGCCCGCCAGTGCATTCGTACTCAGTGCGTCGGTGAAGCGGCCATCGCTCTTTGTAATGACAACTACTACGACCTCGAGGTCTCATGCGGTCACGTCGCCGACCTTGCGCAGGCTATCGCTCACGACTGCATCTGGGTGGACATCTGCAGCGACCCGAAGCAGCCAGCCCATATCTGCAAGACTTGGTCTGCTGGCCAAAACTTTGACGGCAGCCACAATGTCATTGTCGGCAACTGTGGTGCTGTCAGCTCTAGCGGTCAGCCTGTGAAGGCTTAGAGTCCTGTGAGGGCCATGATGGATTAATCCATGGGCACACTGGCAAGCTTCTTACGCCTGCAGACAGCTTCTCCAGCTGCTTTATATCAATACTTGAGAAAAGTAGATCACTGCGGGGGTTTTGATATGAGAAATCGAGCCGAGATTATGAGTCTCTATTTGCCTCAGCATACCTACACGTTGCCTTGAAACATAACAATGAGTCAATTAAATTTCAACATGTTTAGGCGTCTTTGGCATCTTCGGTCAACGAAAGCCCGATGTACAATTCCAAGTTAAATGCCGAGACTCTTATCTGCTCGCAAGGATTCTGATAGACAATCGGATCAGCTTGGGGACGTCCAAATGTTGGCGGTGACAGACTGATTTCTTACGGTCGGCAGACAAGAGTATCATCCTGATTCGCGACCCTGGTGCCAGAAGTTCCCTTCACCCCAGATGTTGTGATAGTCTTCGGCCAACTTCGGCTGTTGTTGAAACGCTACAT